TCACCACATCCCCCCTCACACCCTCCTCACATCGCAAACCCCGCATGCACTGCGCCGGTTCTCTCGCTTGGTTGTTTTGATAGGAACCACGCATGGTTAAGGAAGTTGGACCGGTTCAGGCCATCAACTTCTGCGCCCAAGCCCCACACGATTACGTCGTCACCGCTGGTTCCCACGTGCACGTGTACAGCGGCCAGACCCACCGTTCCAAGATCACCTTCTCCAAGTTCACCGCCGCTCGATGTGAGTTCAATCAAGACTCTGCATTCCTGTGCATGTCTCGTCTTCCTTCACACGCGTGCCGTCACTGGTCGTGCTGTCACTGGACGTGCCACCACGTCACTCAACTCATAGCCCCCTTTTGGACCACTTGACCCGTGCGAGATCATCCACACCACATATCATCATCATCCACACCACATATCATCATCCACACCACATATCAGCCTCCCTCGCTCACACGTGATCGGTTTTGCTCTCTGTGTTGTCTAGCTGGCGCCTTCCGCCGCGATGGCAAGCTGCTTGTGGCTGGTGACAAGGCGGGCCCCGTCAAGATCTTCAACATTAACACAAAGAGCCCTTTGAGAATCTTTGAAGGCCACCGCAAGTGAGTCACACCTTGTGTTTCCCGTGCTGTGCAGCAGATTGCATCTTGATCATGTATTGTTGCCTGTATTCCCACCTTGCTTTCGTTATTCCGTCCTCATCCCATCCATTTGTCCTCATACCCCCCTTCCTTCCCACCTCTTATCGTCATTCTCCCAACCCACACCTATCACTTGCAGGGACGTGCGTGTGACCAACTTCTTGGCCGATACGCAGGTGTTTTCTGCCGGCGAAGAAGGCGTGGTCAAGCTATGGGATATTCCTCAAGAGCAGGAGGCCCTCTCCATTCAACTCTCTAACGTACGTTCAAAGTCTTACCCATACCATGGCTCTGTGGCAACGAGTCGCCGAGAGGCGGCAATGTTGCCACAGCCACCACAAGCACCCCTTCTTTCCATGATCTTTTCTTTCGTGTTTGTCTTGTGCCCTTCCTTTCCCCTTTTCCCTCCTGTGTCCGCTGATGACGCACGTTGCAATGATGAATCTAAATTTTGACAAGCATATATCCGATTTAACCGTGACGTTTGAATTTCTTCACCTGAGCAACGCATCAGCACCCTCTCCCCCTCCCTTTTTGCTTTCCTTTTGTTCTCTGTTGGAGCCACGTGTATCTACCACCACCCGTCCCCCGCACTCAAACTGTCTCGTGCGCACTCTTGTTTCGCCCTCACGATGCTCGCACTCACTTGGCGCATTCTTTTTCCCACCGCAGGATTACATAACGTCTGGAAACACAATTGAGGCGAACCCTTCCCTAGTATTTCTTGGTGGCTATGATCACAAGGCGCGCCTTGTCGACGTTCGGTCTGGGGAGTCGCAATTGGAGGTCGATCACGGCGCCAGCATCGAGTGCGTTTGGGCCTTTAACAACGGCACCATGGTCATCACCGCAGGCCAGAACCACATTTCCATCTGGGACGTGCTCGCTGGCGGCAAGCTTGTCGACAAGCTCTCCAACCATCGCCAAACCATCACAGGTGAGCATCAACCAGCCAAGATTTATTCATGTTCAGCCGTCTACTGTGTTCCGCTTATTGCTGTATTTTTGCTTGCCTCTCTCGTTCTCGTCTCTCTACTTCCTTTCCTCCCTCCTCTCCCACATTTCTCCTCTCCTTTCTTTTGTCTCTTCCATCTCCCTGTCGTTTTCCCAACTCTGTTGCTTTCGGTGATCTACCTCGCTGCAACAACCGTCACTTAGGAACCATGTCGCTCTGGTTGTTCGCAACCGCGTGGGCGAAGTGGGTTGACTGTGACGAAGATTAACAATGTCTTGTCATTGAATTCAAAAACACGGCAAGGCAACGCTGCTTGGGTGTGGAGCGGTGCCCTCTCATGTGCCTCTCCCCAATGGGCAGCGATACACCTTTGTCCATCTTCATTTCTCTTCTTTCGCCTTCTGTTTTGTTCCTTGTTCCCCACTCTCCTTTATTCGTTCCGTCCACGACTTCTAACTTCACCACAGCAAGTAGCTTCACTTCCCTGTCTCACCACGTCAACCCCATTCTCAAATAATTGCTTGTTTCTTCAGGCGTGTGCTTGGATCACACTGAGAAGCGCCTGTTCTCGTGTGGTCTGGATCGCATGGTCAAGGTTTACGACGTCACAAACTGGAGCGTGGTTCACTCGATGAAGTTCACCGGCCAGTTGCTGTCCATGGGCATCGCTCCCGATGATAGTGCGCTTGCTGTGGGCCACTCCAACGGCTATCTCGGTGTGCGCGTACGCCGTCCCAAAGGCGTCGGGGGCGCTGTTGCTGCCGATGGTACAAAGAAGAAGAGGAGACAGCCCAGGCCGGGCACCCGGCGCTACTTCATGCGCGGGCAGAGCGCCAAGCCCAGCCGCTCCGACATGCAGGTGCAAGTCAAGCACAAGCGCAAGAGCCACCCACACAACAGGCTGCTCGCCAAGTTCCGCTTCAGCGAGGCCCTCGACGAAGTGTTTCGCAAGAAGTTCCCTTCAGTGGTTAAGGTGAGCTTCATGCACGAGCTCATGCAGCGAGAGGCGCTGCGCACCGCCCTCAGCAACCGCGACGAGGCCGGCCTGGAGCCCATCCTCAGTTTTGTCGTCGCCCAGATTACCAACCCTCGCTACACCCGCATCCTCACGCACGTTGCCCATCTCATTCTCGGTGCGTCAGTCGTTCATCTTGGTATTGTCTGTCATTACTTCTCGTCGCAGTCGTTGTGCCTGCCATGTGCACTGCACGTTTACCTTCACAGTGTGTTGATTGCCTTCACAGTGCGTGTTGTCTGCGTTCATCGGTTGCTTTCTTTGGTTGTGGGTTGACCCCACTGCTTGCTCCGACCAATCACGACGCTTACTTTGCGGTGCCCGTTGCTTTGTACTCGTCCATTGTTTGCAGACATTTACTCGCCAGGCAAAGGAAGAGCGCCGCGGATCGACTCAATGTTTGTCCAGCTGTCGAACAAACTCAAGCAGGAGCTCAACCTCCAGCGACAGCTCATTGCTGTTCAGGGCATGTTGGATGCACTGCTTGACGTGAACCCAACAGACTAATTGCACTGCAGCCCATTTATTATACACTAATATGAACGAAGATTAAACCTGTTTGAAGCAAGTTTTTATGCGCTTCAAGGTCATGTGTGACAACAGAAAGTGTAGGGCAATGTGAGAAACGACGTGACGTGTGTGATGTGACAAGCGTTTTCGATGTCACTATTTGAGTGTTCAAGGAGCGAACCTTGTTTTATTCTCGAGGTAGCTGGCACACAGGCTGTCATTTAACGTCAAACCTTGTCACATGCATGCATGGATGGAGCAGGAGTTTATGGCGAACTTGTTGAGTTTCCTGTCCCACAGATTTCATCCGTGTTGAAGGACACCTTGGAGAACGATTCCGTGGCCAGTGACGTGGCCACAATGATGATGCCAGACACAATCGTCAGCCCACCTGCGTGTGAGGGCGTGTGTGTGTGTGTGCGTGTGAGGGGATGTGTGTGTGTGTGTGTGTGTGTGTGTGTGTGTGTGCGTGTGTGTGCGTGTGTGTGTGTGTGTGAACGTGTAAATGTGACAATGTGCGCGTTGTGGGTATGCACGCGAGTGTGAGTGGAGCAACCGTGTTCGGGTGGCATGAAGCGAGACAGTGCAACGTGGGCAAGACTCGCGCGCGTGTGCTGTGGCATGCACCGTGGCATGCAACGTGGTAAGCACTGGGACGTACCAAGAAGGAAGATGAGGAAGCTTTGCTTCTTGTACTTGGCAATGATGTAGTTGACAACGCGTTGCCCAACAACAGCACCAGCAAAGCCCATGCTCATCACAATGCCCAGCTGCTGCGGCTTCAACTTGCCCAAAATCAAATACTGTACAGATTGGAGTTGCCAACGGCACATTCAGGCGAGCGAGTGAATGAGGGGTCCGGGGGGGGGGGGGAGGGCGTGAATGTGCATGAATGTGCACGCGCGTGTTTTGTGTTGTGTTGTGTTGTGTTGAGTTGAGTTGAGTTGTGTTGTGTTGAGTTGAGTTGAGTTGTGTTGTGTTGTTGTGTTGTGTTGTTGTGTTGAGTTGTGTTGTGTGTCGTGATTGCAAACGTGATCGGTACGTGCGAATACACACCTGAAGCGTGGTCGCACTTGAGGTGAAGATGATCATGAAGGAGCTCGTCGTTGTCACAACCTGGAGCACAGACCCAAAGCACGCACAGGCGTGAGTTGGGATGATACCAAGCACGGTAATGACCACACACACAGTGGGCAAACGCACCCCAACAGAAACACACTGCACCTGAGGCTGCAGACCCATGGCCAGCATGATTGGACTCTTGATCATGCCTCCGCCCTGCACACAAACGAAAAGCAAGCAAAGGTTGAGATGTGTCATGTGCAAACGAAACAACAAGGGTGCAGCAGCAAGGAGCTGGCATGGCAGAAAGAGACAGGCAGGTAGGCAGACAGGCAGGTAGACACAAGGCACACAACAACACAAACACACAGACACAGACACAGACACAAGCACAGACACAGACACAGACACAGACACAAGCACGCACACACGCACAATGCCCATCATGGCTGCAGCGACGCCAGCGAAAAAGGCGAGGGCAGGAAACTTGTTGAGGTTGGCGCCCTCCCACATGACATCACCGGGGAGAAACGGGTAGTTGCACTTGCGCTTGCGAACGGTCTGTCGCTTGAGCATGCGCCCGGCAAAGTAGGTGATGGCAATCACGTATGGAATGGCACACAACAGCAGCACAATCCAGCCTGCAGAGCACGGCTTGATGACATCGTTGGCCTCGTACAGCAGCATGGTGATGGTGGTGTAGCCCAGCCACACCAGAATCAGCAGCACCAGCTTCTCCCAGGGCACCGTGCGCGCTTCTCTGCGCTGGATGGCCTCCAATTCCAACGTTGCATCGCTGATCTCAAACCTCTCCATGCGCGACGGGCTCTTGCTCGTTCTGCCTCGCCCATTCACGCCGTCGTCAGCCTCGTCACCGTGACTTGCCCCACTCATGAGCTTGCTGCTTGCCGTGCTCGTCCTGCCTTCGTCATCATCGTCGTCCTCACCGTCATGATCGCCGATGGGACCCTTCACTGCAGCGTGGGAACGATTTCTGCTGCTGCTGCTGCTGCGGCTACGACTCATGCTGGTGGCATCGCCGTTGCTGTCAGTGTGCTGGTCAACAGCATCGTCATTGCCATCGTTGTTCCGACTCGTGTCAGTGTCGTTATCATCATCATCACCACCATCATCATCACCACCATCATCATCACCATCATCATCATCATCGTCGTCATCATCATGGGTAGAGCTGTCGCCGCTGCCGCGACGGTTGGTGAGCACTTGGTGCGGTGTGCCTTTCTCCTTTGCGCGCAGCCGGAGGCCCTTGCGGATGGTGCGGTAGGAGACGACCATGAGCAGGAGGCACAGCGGCAGAAGCACCAGCCAGTTGGGGAAGAGCACATTCAGCAGCACGCCAACGATGGCGCCAAGCAGCGTCATCGGCTCCAGCATGAGGGCGGTGTCATAGTCGATGAGCGGGCGCTGCTGCGAGTGCGGATGCCGCTTCCACAGGTTCACGCTGTACGCTGCGATGGCCAGCCCGAAGATGGTGGCCTTGGACAGCGGCACCGCTGCATGCGCGTCCATGCCCAGGATGATCATGTAGATGCCAACAAACAGCGCGCCCCCTCCAATCCCGGCGCCAACAGCAAGCGAGGCGCACAGGAACACGCATATGCTCGCCACAGCCCACTGCCACGCCAGCACCATCTTGATCAATGCTGTGACGTGATGTGATGAGATGTGATGCGATGTGATGCGATGCGGTGTCGTCTGGGTGGACGATGTATTTGGTATTTGGGCAGCAGTGTGCAGGCTGGCTTCGTATGGTTTGGTTGTGTGTGTGTGTGTGTGTGTGTGTGTGTGTGTGCCAATGTGCATGCAAAAGGGCAGCAAATGGTCTGTCGCAGTTATTAGTTCCGCGTGCGTGGACAACGTGCTGGCTTCTGAGTGATTGGCAACTGCAGCCCACACACCACGACGTTGCTGATCTGCCTTTCCTTTCCTTCTTCGCAGTTGCGCTGCGGATGATTAGACCAAGTCTTCTAATGATTTTCACAGCCGTTGGGCTGCTTTGTGTGTGAGTGTGAGTGTTCGCGCGTGTTTGCAGGGTTGTCTTTTTCTCCGCTTCCCTTCCTGCTCGCCCTCGCCTTGCTTCTTGTGGCGCGACTTCGACAAACCAAGAACAACAACAAGGCAGGTTCCAAGAAGACGAGACAGCAGCATGCGGTCGGGGAGGGAGGGAGGGGGGTTCGTGTGCACGTGTGTGGTTGTGTGTGTGTGTGTGTGTGTGTGTTTTTGCGTGTGCGTGCGCATAGCCGGTTGGCTGCGCAACACACGCAACGCACAAAAAGACAACAGCAGCCGTCTATGCTTGCGTGGTCGTTTCGCGCGTGAATGATGATGAGGTTCATGTGCCAGCAGCAGCATCGTACCTATCCTGAATGTTTGTACAAATGTGAATGCGAATGTTACCTTGACGATGATGACGGCTTGCTCAGTTGCGTGATAGGACGCTTTGCTTCACTTGTGCGCCAACAGCCGCCAGCTTTGCTGGCTGTGATCCCCGTCCGCCCATCCTCCACCCTGTTTCACCCAAACCTACTTTGAACACTCCTTCTCACCCAAACCTTTCCTCGTCTTTGCTGGATCAATTGCAACCATTTGTCCCGAGCAGAGGAGAACCACAGCTACGCTGGCCAGCTCCAAACCTCCAACCCAAGCAATCAACCAATCCTGCAACACATTTATACACACACACACACACCACGCACACACACACACACACACACACACACACACACACACACACACACACACACACACACACACACACACACACACACACACACACACACACACAACGCACACACACACACACACACACAACGCACACACACACACAACGCACACACGCACATTCACACCCACCCACCCCAACGCCACCGCTGTCACCCACATCCACAAATCAGTAATCCAGAAGCACACGCACACGCACATCCCAAACTGGCGCCCGCCCATATGGCGACAGAGAGCAACGACTTGCGACCCAAGGTCGCCGTCACCGCCGCAGGTGGCTGGGTGGAGAACGGGTTTGGCGAGATTCTGTGGCTGCTGCGCGCAGGCAAATGGGATTTGCCCAAAGGCCGACTGGAGGCGGGCGAAACCGTGCCGGAGTGTGCTGTCAGAGAAGTGAAGGAAGAGTGCGGCCTGACCGAAGTGCAGCGCGGCGAGAAGATCATCGAGACCGTGCACGAGTACGAGCAAAACGACCGCCGCTTCGTCAAGACCACCCACTGGTTCCGCATGTCTGTGCTCGGGCGCCCGCCCATCTCCCCACAGGCTGACGAGAACATCGACCGCGTCGCATGGCTGCCTCACAAGGAATGGCTCGCCGTCCTCGACTCAACCTTCCCCAGCGTTCGCAAGGTTGTTGCGGCTGTTTCACCCAGCGACAGCCCTGAAAACAGACTGAACAACGACACCCCCGACGACAACACCACCACCACCACCAACAACAGCAACAGCGACACCAACGGCGGCGATAACAATGACAACAACAGAAGCAACAGCAACGATGCAACTGGCACACCGCACAACAGCACGACCAACGACGAAGCCAATACCACTGACACGAGTGATATGCAGACACAGCGCGAGGATGCTGACACCAGAATATCCCCGGCAGCCGCAACCGCAAATGACCCTTCACGACAACGGAGTGAACAAGCAAAGTGTGAGCAGCAGCGTGACGCGTCCGAGCAGTCCACAGCCATGGACATGTCCGCGGACAAGGAAAACGGCGTGGACAGCAGCGCTTCTTCCTCCCAACAACATGGGCAGCCAGCCACAAGTGCACGCGATGCAGGCCCCAGTGCAGGAGACAGCCGAGCTGGTGCCCTGACTGCCACGCGGCTGGACGATGACGGTGAGGATGACGGGTTCTTTGGCCCTCGCCCGGTGCTGAGCGGCGACCGGTCCAGTCTACGCGGCGACGAGAGCCCCATCATCGGTCCGCAGGCGCCACCTGGCCTTGAAGAGCAGCAGCAGCACGAGGAGATGCCGTCACTCTCTGAAGAGGCGACGCGGGAGCTTCAGGCAACACTGGTGCCGTGTCCTGTGAAGCTTTACAAGCAGGGCGGCGACCAGTGGGACGAGCAGCCCGAGGGCACCATCTCCCTGGACCTCGCAGACAACCTTCATCTCACCATCACCGCCACAGACTCCTCAGGTTTGCTTTAAAAGGGGGGGGGGGGAAATGCGGTGTCGTCCTGCTGTGGTGCAAACTCCTCGGCAATGTACATGATTGTGTGAATACTTTCTGTCCGACATCAATTGCGCACGCACACACACACACCTACCTCTTTAACACCGTGCTCCTTGGCCTGCGTTGTTCGCTTGCCACGTCGACAGAGACACTGTTTGACCTGCACCTGACCGAGGCGCGGTCGTGCCAGATTCAGCAGGCGTTTGTGCTCCTTGGCTACGGCGAACCAGAGGAGGTGGTTGCCATCAGCTTCAATGACGATGACGCGTGTGCAGCCTACTCAAACGCCATTTGCACAGTGAGTGTTGTTCTGTGGATGAATGTTTTTTTTTTTTTTTTTTTTGAAGGGGGGGGGGGGGAGACATGTGCGTGGTATGGTTTGTGAGTGCGTCGGCCCCGCACTTGCACATTGTTTGGTTTTGTCTTCTCGCTCTTTTTCAGCCATCACTACCAGCATCACCTCACCTGTTTTGCTGTGCTGTGTTGCGCCTTTTCTACTCTTGACCATTCACATCTTCAGTTCCTGCAAGCGGACACGGCGAGCGATGACGATATGCTCGGGGAGCCGGACAACAACTTGTTCACCCCGGTGGACCTGCCCCCTCCAGACCTCGCGTACGTTCCCCCTCCCCCGATTCTCCTTACATTCGCACACACACACACACACACACACACACACACACACACACACACACACACACACACACACACACACACACACACACACACACACACACACACACACACACACACACACGTACGTTTGTTGCGCGTGCCATTCGCTTCTTGTTGGGCCATCGTGTATCCACCTCACCCTGTGTGTACTCACCACGTGTGCATGCGTGTGCGCCATGCTTGTTTGATAGGCATTTGGATGCGTACGACAAGTTCCTGACGGAGGTGCTTGACATCAGGCAGCAGTCCATGTCCACACAGGTGGGCACCGCTTTGCGTGATTCTTGTGTACTGCATGTGCCATGGATTCGTGGCCGTATTTCAAGCTGTGCTGCCTCGTGCTATTCTGACCGTTGTCTGTTGAGAATTGCTGGCATTAATTTGCTCTTGCTTCAGCTTCACGATCGCCATGCAGTGCCTCATAATCGAACACACACACACACACACTTGCACACGCACACACTTTTTCTCTTGCGGACCCACACATATTCACTCACATACGCATTCATACACACACTGTCATGATGACAGAATATGGACATGCGTCGAGAGGCGCTCATGAAGATCAAAGGATTTGGGCACCACGTACGTCCCAGACACCCAAGCACTACACATGGACTGTCATGTTGTGTGTATGTGTGTGTGCACTCTGTGAATGCATGTTCTCTCTCTCTCTCTGTGGCAAACAATGAGCACCTCAAACCCATGCACTTCAATGTTTACTTGTTGCTTCTCTTCACGTTGTCTAGACCGTGTGCCATTCACTCACACGCCAAACCGTGCGTACATTCGCTTTTTAGATGCTGTCGCATGTGGACACATTCTTCGACACGTTTGAGAAATGGTAACACACACACACACACACACACACATACACACACACACACACACGGCTTTGCGCACGTGCTCTGGCATAGCGTTTGCTTTGCCGGCTTGTTCCTGCACATCCTCTCGGTCACATGCCGTGTTGACTCTTTGTTCCTCTCACCCTCGCACCGCGATGACAATGGTGGCAGTGACGACCTGGAGGACGACAAGGCGCTCGGCACCATCTACAACATCTCCCTCGTCATGCTTCTCTCCTGCATGCCAGAGCTCTTTGACGTGAGTCCGCCCCGGATGATGGCGCCTGCTGTATGCTGTGGCCAATGCTTTTCGGGTACACCAACTGGTTTTTCCCCGTTTTCCCACGTCACACCCGTGCATGTAGTCAACCGTGCAATGCCTCACAAACTGCTCACACTGACTGTTTTGTGCCACATTCACTCCTTCCGACGCTTTTTTTTTTGGTTTGCACAGTTGTTGACGCCGCCGCAGTATCTTGAGCGGTTCATCGGCACGCTCGAGACGAAGCCCGACGGCTCCAAGACGGAGCACCGCGAGCACCTCAACTCGGACACCCGTTTCCAGGAGGTGCGCGTGTTGTGTGTTTGTGTTTGTGTTTGTGTGCGTGTGTGCGTGTTTGTGACGTGTTTGGGTCTCCGTGTTGACAGCGGGTAATAATTTACACCATCTGCACACTCTTTTCGCTTTGCTCACGCGTCACTGCTGTTGTGTCAGATTGAGCCGTTGAACGATGACGATCTTCGCTTCCGCATCCGGCAGCTGTATTACATCACGTATCTCAAGGACGTTATTCTCGCCGGCTTCATCGACGACCAGCTCCCCTTTGTCCTCGACTCCCACGCCATCTTCGCATCTGGCGCCATCCTGGAGAAGCTTGTTACCATGCCCACCTACCTCAAGTCTATCCTGTCCGCCGACCCGGGCCAGTCGCAGGACCGTACACGCAAGCAGGTTGGCCGCTGTTCTTGCCCGCACGTCTGTTTGGTCGCCGTGGTTTTATATGTTCCTGCAATACACGCGCGTGCATAAATGTTGCGTGCTTTTGTGCGCCCTTGGCACACAACGGCATCAATGGTACTGCGTGGTCTCTACTGCCGCTGAACCCCCCCCCCCCCCCAGCAGTCGCTCGGCATTCCGTCCCTCACAGCCGTTGTGCGTTTTGTTGCGCATTTGATGGTGCGTTTTCCATAGGCCATGTTTCTGCTTGAGGTGTTTACGGTGAGCGGTAACCAGCAATCTGTGGACAAGCCCGTCGTGTACAAGGCTCTCGCCGACAGCGGCCTCTACAACGTCATCAACATCTGCCTGGTGCGTATGCCCACATGCCATGGTTGTTGCTGTTTCTGTTGCTGTTTCTGTGGCTGTGGCTGTTGTTGTTGCTGTAGTTGTTGCTGAAGTTGGCAATTGTTTTGCCCACGTCGAAGGCACAGCACGCTATGCCTTCCATTGCATTCTGATCTGTGTCCTCTTTCATCCCCTGGGCCTGTGGTTTGCCCCGTTGTCGCCATGAGCAGCAAAGCGACCACAAAGAGACGCGGCACAACGCCGTGTGTGCCGTTTGCAAGGCTCTCGAGAACAACACGCCCTCCATCAGGCAGATTATTCACAAGGCAAGTGCACTGCGTCTGCGTGGATGTAGCAATGTGCGTCGGCTTTCGTCCATGCTCTTTCAGTTGCGCTGTTGGTGCAACTTGCCACTTTGTCTAGGACGTTGACATACTCCCATTTTAACGCCTGTGCCTGCCTGGTACTTCATGTGCAATGGTGGCCTGTTTCCACGGTGCAGAACGAGTGGGCGCTGCCGTCTGAACTGATCCGCGCGTTTGCCAAGGAAACAAGCATTGGTGCGTGCCCGCGTCCGTGCTTTCATGTCCACGCACTGGCCCTTTGACACGAAAGCATCTGCTTGCAGGGACACTGACGCCTGTTTGCCGCCCGTTCTCGTTGTATTTACGCCTCGTTGTACTTACGCGTCGTTGTACTTTACGCGTTGTCGTGCGCATTACCACACACACACACACACACATGTGCACACAGCGACCTTGACGATGCTGAGCCATGCGTTGGAGATGCTGTACGACGTGGACACATTCATCGATGCAGAGGTCGTTTCACACACACACACACACACTCGTATGCATGCAACTTGCTGACAGCACACTGGCTTGCGAAATGGCAATGTTAATTTGGTTGCGCGTCTTTGCATCCCTTGCGTACTTTAATTTGCTCACGTTTGTGCTCACCATCACCATCACCATCACCATCACCACCGCCACCGCCTGTGCGTGCTTGTGTGATGTGGCTGGGTCCAGGCGACCAAATCTGCGCTGCTGAACATGCTGTACAACTCGGATGTGCTGTTTCCGCGGCTGGTATCGCTGTTCTCCATGCCCCCAGATGAGATGCGCACACCGCACGGGCGGGAGAAGCTCGTCATTCTCATGCAGCTCATCAGCCACTGGCTTCCGACACACACCTACCACATCAAGTCCTTTGTCACCACCAAGAACCTGCTTGGTCAGGCGGCAAAGGTGGTTAAGGCCAACGACAAACTCCTGACCCTCGGTGAGCACTTGCACATGCCTGTAAAGCTGCAGCCATTGCCATCACTGCCGTGCTGTGATGCTGCTGCTGGTGTGTAGGGGATACTGACATGGAGGTGCACCGTTTTGTGTTTAGCTCACCACATGCGTGTGACATGGTGCATGTTTCGCTTCATCCGCTCCTGTCATTCTTGCCACAGCCTTTGCCCGCCTTTTGTCCCACGTGGTGCAGACAAAGAACACCCTGTTTTACCGCAAGCTCGTCGCAGGCAGTACGTTCCGGCGGCGCGTGCTTGCGTGCGTGCGTGTGTGTGTGTGTGGCGTGTACAAACAAGTGGTACATGTGGTGTGAGTGTTGTTGGGTTGGGATCTTTGCCTCGCGCTTTGTGTTCCCCGGCTCACCGTCGGAATGCGGCTTTGTTTTGCAATCAGACTTGATGGAGCCTGTGATGAAGGCGTTTAATGCCGTGAAGCATCGTTACAATATGCTCACATCCACCGTCCTCAGCATCATCGAATTCACAGCAACGGTACGTGCTCGCACAGTGTGTGTGTGTGTATGGCTGTGTTCGAATTTGCGTGAGAGTACGTTAACATATGTGTGTGTGCGTGTGTTGTGCGAGTTTGTGTGAGTTTGAGTGTGTGCTGGTGCATTGGTAAAAACGGTGACTGTGTCTGCTCACACGATCCGTCCATACCAACAACAGAACAATCTGCCAGCGATACGCGATTACCTGGTCAAGAACTTTCGTCAGATTCTTGAAAACATCGACCAGCACCCCTGTGGCAAAAACCTCGTATTAAGGTAGGCAGAACTTCGAGTCAACACAGCCCACGTGCCTGTCTCCCCTCAAGTCTCTCTCTCTCTCTCTCTCTCTCTCTCTCTCTCTCTCTCTCTCTCTCTCTCTCTCTCTCTCTCTCTCTCTCTTTCTCCCCGCCCATTCCCCTTCCTCTCCACTTGCCAATGCCAACCCTCCCTACCTGACGGTGCACTCAGCCTCCAATTGGGCGTATTCGATCTTAATGGGAGGAATACAAACTGCAAGCAGCTGTCATGTACTTGGCTGTTGTTTGGCTTGCTTGTCGCTTCATCACCTTAAACTCGGGCGACAGCATGGGCAGTGACACCAACAGCACAGCTGTTGTTGGTTCCTCCTCGCTCATGTTGCCGCTCCGCACGGATTTCTCATCTCCTTTGCATTTCGTGCATTGATGTTGTGTGCAAGACAACCCTCGTCTCCCTCTTGGCTTTTGTCTTCTTCAGTTCCTTCCACCCCTCTTCGTTTTCCGTTCATTTTCATTTTTCTTCTTCCTTCATCCCCACCACTGTTCTTGTGCGTGTCACCACACATCCGCTCGCTCGTTGGCCCCACACTCAACTCACCTCTCTCTCTTCTCCATCCTTCCCAACCACCACCACCACCACCACCACCGTGCAGGTTTGAGCAGAGGTTTGACGAGAGTGCTGCTGGTTCGCTGGGCAACGGTGGCGGGACGACGGTTGCTGCTGCTGCCGCTGCCGCCCTGCGGAGCCGGTTCAGAAAGGATGGCTCCATGACTGAGGAAGAGGAAAACTACTTTTCCGAGGACAGCATTGATGCAGACGAGTCTGAGCAGCGGTGCGTTGCATGCTGTGCTGCCTTGTCATGATGAGGGACAACCAAGCGTTGCTGTGCGTGTACGGATGCGTGGTGCACGTGATGTTGCTTGTTTGGTGGCTGGTTGCTTTGTCTGTTTGTTTGTTTGTTTGCTTGTTTGCTTGTTTGCTTGTTCGCTTGGGTGTTGTTGTGATACAACGGTCGTCCCAGGACACCTTACTCACCATTGCACTGCTGCTCCTGCTCTTCCTACGCCACACCATAGGGATGACCAACCACGTATTATCATGCCGAACCAGGTGTCACCATCGCCGCCGCCACCACCATCCCACCGCCGCCCGCTTGTGTCGTATGACGATGACGACGATGATGACGACGACGACGAGGAGGAATCGTTTTTGACCCGGGCACGCGTGTTGAAGAAACCAAAGTTCACGTTTGCAATTGGCACCAAGACCGCGTCGTCCATGTCAGACGACAAGGACCAGCAGCACTCGCGCAGGGAAGGCGTCTCCTCCAGTATCTTCCCACTCAACACCTGATTGTGGATTGTGGGATGGATATTGCGGTGAGATCCGCAATGGCGACATGTGCGGAGGGAGCGTGGTTTTGTGGCCACCACCCCGTACATTCTCGTCATCATCACTTTGCCTTTGTTTGTGACTGTTTCCTGTTGGCGTCGTTGGTGTGTGTGTGTGTGTGTGTGTGTGTGTGTGTGTGTGTGTGTGTGTGTGTGTGTGTGTGTGTGTGTGTCACCAATTTTGTTCTTTATAAAGTATCCTGTGTTTTCCACGTTGTCATTACTGCTGGTGCGTGTGGTTGGTTGAAACTAGGTGTTGGGCGGTTTGCCTAGATTGATGTGACACGTGAAGTTCCCCATTCCTGTGTGCACTGTCCGCGCACCACATCGTCTGCGGTTTGTCCTGTCATCGTCGTGTTTTGTCTTCCTCCATCTTCCATCCTTCTTTGACATGAGAGCTCGCAAGGTTAGCCTGATCTAGGCAACAACAAAATAAAAGCCCCCTTATCCTTCCACCTTCGACCGTGTGTGTGATTTTGATGGCAATCCCTTCACACTCCACTTTGCATTCTTCGTTCAAGAGCAAAACCAAAGCGCGTGTGCTTGTGCGTTGGATGCAATGGATGATGGGTCATGTAATTAGTTGGCAGCTGTTAAGACAGAAGCGAGATGAAAATCAGAAGCGAATCAACCAAAAAAACTTTGGCAATCACAGCGCCTGTGCGCTCATTCATACCACACACACACACACACACACACACACACACACACACACACACACACACACACACACACACACACACGCATACATGGTTTTATACCCGGCTAGCTTGTGGCAGCGACGAATGCAGAATGCTCTCGTCTGCAGCGCTGCTGTTCTCATCGGTGGATGACGCCTTGGATGGTGTGGCTTCGTTCGTGGGCGCGCCAACGCCTCGCGTGTTGGTGGCCGTCACGTCCATCACGCCTCTCAGGCAAGTCTCCGCAACAGCATCGCCGTCGCCTTCACCAATCCCAACGCCGCCAACACTCACGTCCTCGCAGGCCGTGTTCGTCCTCGTTTCCCCCTCCAACATCTCATACATATCGTCGTGGACCAGATCAACAACATTCCGCGACCTCTGCTGCTCTGCTCGAGTCTGTTGTTTCGCGGTAGATCCTGCTCGTGGGTCACCCACATCCTCATACAATTCCTCCTCGCTGTACAAGAACGGCGGCTGAGTCACCGCATCCTTTTGCGCTTCGTTAACTTCGACTTCGTCTTCGTCTTGCTCCTCCTTTGCCTCTTCGCTCTCCTTGGAGGCTGTCGCGGGCTCAGAGCACTGGTCGTACACGTCTTCGTCGTGAAGACAAAAGTCATAAATGCCAGGCATCTGCGTGCCTTCGTTCCCAACAGCCTCGGCATCAGTGGCTGCGCTGTCACCGTGGTTCTGGGTGCTGCTGGCTTCCGTGTGCCCATCTGCCTGCGCGCTGCCATTGGCGCCGGAGCCACCTGTCGCTGACGTGCTCTCGAGCGATGAGCCAACGCCAGATGGGGTTGCATCTGGGCCATGCACTGCTTCGGCATCGGTGTTGGTGCGGTCCTCGCCCTGCTTGCCGACACTGGCATCGTCGTGACTGCTGTCAGCTGCGCCGCCATCGCCATTATCGTCGCTGCCGCCGCCGCCAGCGTCAGGGTTATTTCTGGTTCGGGAGTGGGGTCGTCTTCTCGCTTGCTGCTGCAGTTGCGCCTGCTGCTGGCGCTGCTGCCTTGCGCTGTTGGTCCCCGCAGCGCGCAGCAAGAAGGCCATAAACGCGCGGAGGCGCTGCGCCAGCACCGCCAGTGGGCCGGGCATGTCCGGCTTGCAGGCGAAGGACGTGATGATGGGCGAGACGTAGATGGGATACCCGACGGGTTGGTCGTTGGACTGGGAAATGAGGTTGCGCAACACGCACTTTGCGTTCTGGATGCTGCCGCGTTCAGAGTGCGTCGTCTTGAAGTAAATCACCTCCTGCTGCTGTGCCGCCCACAGCCCGCGCACGCTCTCGCGGTTGACCTTGAACACCTTGTAGGACCGGCGCTGCCGCACGAGCGACACGACAAAGAACTCCTTGTTGGCGCTCGAGTCCTCAATGTTCCAGCGCAAGGAGAGCAGTGACGGAAAGGCGTTGAGCACAGACTCCCGCCAGCGAGGATCCGTTTCGTTGTAGATGCGCAGCCGCAGCGGCCCCTTGCTGCTGTCGTAGTCATCGAGCGAGTCCCACAAGTTCTCCACGTCGGTGTACTCGTCTGGATCCGTGAAGTGGTCCTGCCGCAGCCGCAGGCCCATGCGCGCACCGGGGAACACAACCTCCGTCAGGATGGTGGGGTCGAAAAACACCCACTCGTCCTTGTAGTTGTCCGGCTGCAGGCGACCACGGAACAGGCCGTGGAACCCGTGGATGAACGAGTCCTCGACGTGCGACATGCGGCGCGCGCGATCCAGCATCATGCGCCGGGCCAGCAAGCACACAAGGAACACAAACTTGGTGACCACGCTGTCCCTGCCCGAGTCCCGCACCAGCGCAACGTCAGCCTCATCGCGCCCGCTCATGGCCTCGTGCGACACGTGCTTTGTGCAGCAGGCGATCCAGTCGTCGTACACGCCGTAGAACGAGCGCAGCGACACGCCCATCGCGTGCCGGTCGTAGTCCGGGTCGCACATGCGGTTGAACAGGGCGTCGCGATCAACGTACTCCGTGGTGACAGCGCCCGTCGCAGCCTGCACGGCATCGGCGCGCAGCCACTCGACCAGGCGCGGGTGGCGCACCGCGTAGTAGATGATGGCCTTGTTGAGACAGTCCATGAGTGTCTGGCGCATCTCGTAGGAGGAGAAGAGCGGCTGGGCAGCCAGGTGGCTGATGCTGTACCCGTCCAGCACATACGCGGGCGACACGTGCTGCCACGTCACCCAGCGCAGCTGCGCCACGGCGTTGAAGGCGAGCATGAGTGAGGGCCACACCCGCTGGGACGTGGTCGTGGTGCAGCAGCACACGCGCGACTCATCGCGCTGGTCGTGTTCCAGCGCCTCCACCTCCCGCGCCTGGCAGAAGGTGCCGACAAACTCCAGCCCGCGCACCTGAAACGAGACGTACCCGTTGCCGAGCTCAATCACGTGCAGGAAGAGCGTCATCTTGTTGTCGTTGTCCAGCAGCAGCAGCACGTCGCCTGGGGAGACCTGGCCCATGCGGCCGAGCATGATGTCTCGCCCAAGCCGCCGCTCCAGCTCCTGGCACACCTCCTGGTAGAAGAGCGAGTTGAGGTTGTTTGCTGTTGCGCCCGAGGGCTTGAGCGACGACTCCAGCCGCATGTTCTCGTCGTCCAGCCGGCGCGTCTCGTAGTTGCGCTCCCAGAAGCGCAGCGGGCGGAAGTAAGACACGAGAAACACAGAGGACCCGAGCAGCGGGTACACGGGCGCAGAGATGACAGCGGCAATCATGGCCTGGAAGGTCATCACGGCGCCGTGGGCGATGGAGAGCGGGTACAGCACCGCGTGCGTCTCCGAGCCCCAGATTTGCTTGACGTTCCAGGGCGCGTTGTACGTGAAGATGAAGCGCAGCTTGAGGAGAAACTCCTGTGTCTTCTGCACAATGATGAGCACGAAGAAGAGGTCCACCACCCCGCCCTCCGATGAGGACTCAAAGTCAAAGCGGAAAAACAGGTACGACAGCACCACGGCCAGTGCAAACATGCTGCCGTCACCGAGGCGCGCGCGGGCAATCTTGAAGCTGCCGATGGCGAGCAGCAGCGCGCCGACCTCCACGCCCCACCGGTCCACGAGCCGCGGGGCGCTGTCGTGCATCTCGTTGATGACAAATACGGGCGCAACAACATGCACGGCAACAGCACGCGTCCAGTACACGCAGTGCTCGTGCCACGTGGTGACCACCGGTGGCGCGTTGAAGCCCGTTGTTGGGATGTGTCCAAACACGGGGTTCTTCAGCACACGAAACGGGTGCGTGGCGCGCGCCTGCAGCAAGAGGATGTTGCTGACGAGGCTGAGCACGCCAATGAGCGCGACCGTGACATCTCGAATGACGCGCGTGTTTGTCGTAAACAAGCCCGTCAGGTTGATCAAGTACCACAGCCCAGACAGGCACACCAGCAGCACCACGTCCCAGCCAAGCCGCGACAGCCACACAAACGCGTCTTCGTCAACATCGCCCGCATCACGAGCCTCGCCATCTGCTCCGGCGCCATCAACTTCCGAGCTGCTGTTGCCGTTGTTGTTGATGTTGTTGTCATCACTACTGGTGCTGGGTGTAGTGGTGTTGTTGTTGTTGTTGTTGGCGGTGTTTGCCTGTGCCGCGCCTGCGCCTGTTGCAGAGTCATCGGGGCTGGACGGGTTGGTGTTGCCTGTGGCCGCCGTCTCCCCGTTGTCACCACTGTCGCTGTTTGCGTTGTCGTTGTCGCTACCCTCGCCATCACCATTGCTCCCGTGATTATCGGTGCTGCTACTGCTATCGGCGCTGCCGCCGCCGCCGCTGCTGCTGCTGCTGCTGCCAGCCCCGTGTCCACGAGGGCGCTGGTGGAATAGGGTGCGCACGCGGCGGCCAATGTGCTTGATGACCAGCAGCGGTGTGGAGGATGGTGTGCGGGCGAGGAAGGAGGCAAGGCCAATGCACACGCCGCACACAAGCGAGAACACGCCAGATACCTCGTCATCGACTGTCGTTCGCGCAATGACAAAGAGGATGCCAGCAGAGACGATGGCGAGGCAGACCTGGCTAAAGGCTGCGGCTGTTGACTGTGTCCCCTCGCCGCCAAACACGTGCAGGTCGAGCTGCTCAAGGACGTGGTGCGCCGCCGTGCGAAGCACAGGGAGCACGCCAAACACAAACAGCACGGGCAGGATGGCCACGACCGTGAGCAAAAGATCCCGCAGGTTGCGTAAGGTGGCGGCGGAGGCGACGGGCACGCCGTAGAGGCGGTCGGTGGTGTGCGGCCAGTCCAATGCAGCATCAAACAAAAGCGCAAGCAGCCCGAAGATGACAAAGTAGAGGGCGCGGGCAAACGCCGTTGCCTTGTCGTCAATGAGCGACGCAAACGAGTCTGTGCGTGCGTGCTTGAGCAGCGCATACTGCGCGCTGGCCGCGCTCACCCACAGCATGACCAGGCCCACGTCCCAGAAGAGGCGCGTCAGCTCAAAGGCAACCAGCGTTGTGCCGAACATGAGCACGGCGGCCCACAACCGGTCAATGAGCCGGTGATGGTAATCAATCACATGCAGCAGGTCCTGGCGATGGAAGCGCACAAACACCGTGGGCAGACATCCCAAAGGGTGCCATGCCAGCCCGCCCTTGCCCTTGTCCTTGCGTTGGCGTGAGCGCTGCCGTGGCGGTACATGGGCAGGCGTCAGGATTGTCGACGTGGAGCTGGAAGTGGAGGCAGCAGTGGCAGTGGCAGCAGTGGCAGTGCCAGTAGCTGCTGTCGCCGGCGTGATGGCAGCTTGTTCTTCTGCATTTGTGTCCCTGAGGGAAGCGCGTCGACGCCCAAGACGCGTGCGCTGGTGGGGATGAGCGCGGCGGGGACGGCGGCGACTACGACGCCTCTCAGCATCGCCATCAGCATCTGCTGCGGTGGCTGCGTCACCTTGTGCGGTCGTACACTCTTCTTGCTGTTGTTGGTCTGTTGCGCTGCTGGCAGCCGTAATCGCTGCGTGGGCAGTGGTGGCGGCGATGGTGTTACCACCATGATCATTGCCGGCGTCGTCATCACCGTGCTCTGCACCACGGTTGTGTGTGCCGCTTTCATCACTCATGTTCACCATCCCATAGGGTGCCTCGAGGTGAACTTGCTGCGGTGAGTCTGCGTCAATCTCACTGCCGCTGTTGGTGGTGTTGTCGTAGTTGGTGTCGGACGCAGCGTCGTCGTCCTCGCCATCACCGCCACGGGCACTGTCTCTTCCGCTGCCGCTTGCTTGAGCTCCCTTGTGAGATGTGGCCGAAGACGATGCCGATGAAGACAAGGAGGAGGATGAAGACGAACCAGAACGTGAGGAGGAGGAAGAAGAAAATGATGGTGACGGTGGCTGGTGCGGTGGAGTTTGTTGCGCTGAAGCGGTGTTCTTATTAGCGCCATGCCCGTGTTGGTGATCGTCATCGGAGGCGCTGCTGCTCGCGCCATCACCACCAACGGTGCCGTCACCGACCGCGCTGCCAACAGCGGCCGTTGTGGACACGTCTGTGTTTGTGGCGGCGGTGCTGCTGGCGGCATAAGGGCTGCGTGCCCGCGCACCCTCGCTGGTGTCCACAAGGTGCAGGCCACCAAGCCTAGCGTCTTCGTATCTGTCGCCACTGCCGTTACCGCCGTCACTGCTGCTCCTGTTCTCGTCATCGTCAATGAGAGAGCCCGCAGAGGCGAGGATGGACGTGGTGGACGCGCGTGGCGGCAACGGCGGTACGCGGAGCACAACCCCGCCACTGCAGCAGGACAGCAAGGTGAGCAGGCGGCAGGGACGAAAAACGTGAGGTTGGTGGAGGTTGGCGGTGTTGAAGGGTGGAGGAGGGGGGGTGTTGGGGGAGTGCGATCCATTTAAATTGTGGTGCGCCGTACACGGGTACGCCATTGTATCCACAACAGCACCACGCACACACTTACGTTGCACACACTTGCAAACGCATGTGAACACAGATGTACACGCATGCAATGTAAACACACATACATACTCGCACACACACACACACGCGCATGTACCTTGAGAGTCGGTCTTGAAGGACGGCGAGCGAGGATGTCGCTGTGGTATCTTCCTCCCCATTCCGAGATGATGATGATGATGATGATGACGATGAGGACGATGAAGAGGGTCGGTGATGTACTCTCCTCTGTGCTGTGTCGGACACCGCGTTCCTGCTATTGCTGCTGCCGCCATCATCATAGTCGTCACCGCTGCGGCCCGTTGTGTGCTCGAGCTCCCCCTCGGATGTGTCTGCAGTCACGTCCCGCCCGCCATCAAGGGCCAGCGTGCTTGCATGCGCGACAGACCTCCGCTGCAATGCGCCTTCACCATGCCCATCGTCATACGTGTTGTCTGCATCGCGCAGTGCAACACTGAACCGCTCGTCACTGATCTGGTACTCATCAGCATCACCATCGCTGCCCTGCCCTTCTTCTGCGCTGTCTGTATTTGGTCGTCTCTGCATGCCGACACCTTTCTCAGCACCATCTTCATCATCGTCATCATTGTCAACACCATCATTACCACCATGACGACTGCTCTCGCAATCCCCACTGCTGCCCTGGCTTGCACCAGCCTCCTTGTGTTGTTTTGCGCGCTGCTGCCGCCTCTTCTGCCTGCGGTGTCTTCGGCGATCGCGACGCGATGTGCTACTAGTCTGCGCATGTGGCTCGCTGTCACCGTCATCATCACTATCATCTTCGTTCATGCCATTGCCTCCGTGCTCCTGCAAGTTGGCATTGTTGCCTTTGCCAGTCTCAATGCTGTCGCCTCCTGTTGCAGTGACGGGTGCGTGTGTGAGTGGAGAGTTGCGGTGCGGGGTGTGGACGGCGCTGGTGGCGTGGCTGGCACGGCTGCTAGGGACCTGATCACGCATGGATCCACGGGAGAAGAGGGCGAGGTCAATTGACAAGTCGTCATCGGGGGTGAACGGTGGGGACGGGTGGCGTCCCTGCTGCTGGTGCCTGGCGTCTTCGCGCGCCGATTGAGGCACGGCAACAACAGACAGCATGCGCCGCAGTACCACAGGCGGCTTGTGTTGTTCTGCAGCCTGCTGCGACTGCGCGCCGGATTTCGAAGTCTTGCGAGACGCTCCATCGTCACCACTGTCGTCGCCGTCACTGTCGTCCTCGTCACTTGTTTCGGGGTGCAGAAGATCAATCATCTGTACACGCGTGTGTGTTCGTTTGCATGTGTGAGTGTAAGGGGCTGAAGGAGACAGAAGCATGTGAGGGTGGACATTGTGCTTGGAGCACTCTTGTGTTTGCGCCTTTTCCGCCGCCTTCATCAAGGAAACACCCACACCAACGTGCATGCATAGATGAAGAATGCACACGCGCAGTGCAGGTAGAAGGGCGTACCTCGGTCGTTGGCATGTGGTACTTCATGTAGTGTTCGAGCAAGTGGTTGATTGTTGGAAACGTGGCCCGTTCACCCTCCTGTTGCACACACGAACAACAACAACATCAGCAGATGAGTGATACGAGAAACGCACTTGGACAAGTGTGTTGTGATTTGCACTACGCGTACACCAATAGTGGGCAGAAAAGGCGTGATCAGCCACGAATTGCGAACACGAGCACTTACGAGCTTGAGGCCTGCGTCGTCCTGGGTGACGCGAGCCAGGAAGACAGACGATGTGCCCGTGATGAGCAGCGAGTACACCCACTCGCGGTCAGGCGACAGGGTCACATCAGCCATGAACACCGCAAAGTGGCCCGCTGTGTGTGTGTGTGTGTGTGTGTGTGTGTGTGTGTGTGTGTGTGTACGATGAAGGGAGAGGAGTGAGTGAGTGAGAGAGAGAGAGAAATGAAGTATGTGTGTGTATGTGTGTGTGCGTGCGTGACGTGGCGTGTGGTGTTGACGTGAGGCATGAAGGACATGTCGAACGAATGCACAACACCGACAGAGGCAAGCAGCAACTCACGCAGCACTTGGCAGACGTATTGCTTTCGGTGCTGGCCTCCCCCAACAGTGGACGATGAGGAGGACGAGGAACTGCCGGCATCTTCGCTGTCGCCCTTGTTGGTGTCATCGTCATCGTTCGGGATGTTTGAGTTCTTGCGCTTGTGGGAGGTGGCATCTCGGATGCCGCACACATCCTAACGCGGGATGTGCAGTGACGCAGGCAGCCGTGAGTTGGGCAAGGTATGAGCAGATTTTGGGGTCGGGGTTGGTTGGGGTTGGGAGAGTGAGTGCACATGCGTGGAGGAAGAAGAAGCAGAAGACATAAAGCGTTTGAGCATATGGCAGCCGGCAATGTCTGGTGGGTAGTCACACACACACACACGCACACACACACACACACACACACACGCACACACACACACACACACACACACACACACACACACACACACACACACACGCACGCACGCACGCACGCACGCACCAGCATGAGCCAGGCAAAGTGCTCGAGAGGCTGGATGGGCTGTGGAAACGGGCCGGCAAGCGACCCAGCGGGGCGTGCCAGTGGCGCCTGGCAAAAACCAAGAATTGCAAGGCGATAACACGTGCAAACGAGGTTGACAAGAAAGGGTATGCGGTTTGGTAACCACAGACGAAACAAATGTTATGGTTATGAAGATTCAATACGCTCATCACATTACGACACATACGGAAGCACCATCACGAGAATTACACGTGTTTCCACGTGCGCGCATGGCAGGAGGGTGCAATTGTGTGCAAGGCGGTTGCAGCACGCAACAGAAGCCGTGAGCAAGAAGAGGAGGGGGGGGGGGACACCGCACCATTCTGCACTGGACGGCCGGAATGAGTGCGTTTGATCGCGCTGGCAGGATGACGTGACGCAGCCCCACGTCCTGCACGGTGCGCGCACGGCACACGGTGAGGTATGAGTGAACAACAGGTGGAAGGGAAGAATACGGCTACGAAGTCACGTGCGAGTCAGCGCGCTTGTGTAAGAGAGTGCGCGTGCGTGTTGTGTTGATGCGCATGGGTGGGGAAGAGTGTAAGCAAGCAATGTGCGCATGTTGGCATTGGACTGACGTGGTTGTAGAGGCTGAGCAGGTAGCGCCGCATAAGCATGGTCCGCAGAGGAGCGTCCTGTTGGCAGGCGGGAGTGAACACAATGCCGAGTGAGCCAACACGCAGGAGCAAGGAGCGGCAACAAGTAGTCATACACTGCACACGCTCACACACACACATGCACACACACTCACACTCACACACATGCACAAACTCACACACTTGCACACACATGCTCACACTCACACGCACACACTCACACATGCACAATGACAACCAAACAAATTGACGAGCACAAGCACAGACACAGACACAGACACAGACACAGACACAGACACAGACACAGACACGAGTGCTCACGTGCTGGAGGATCTGTGCAGAGTCGTCGTCCTTCTTGTATGTGTGCAAAACAAACCGCGCTTCTCCGTTGCGCGTAACCTTGCGAACAAGGAACAGGCCGGCTGTGACAGTTGGGTTGGTGGTGGTGGTGGTGTTGGTGGTGATGGTGATGGCGTGAACGGCGAGCGTGTGAGGCGAGGTGTTAAGCAGCGGGCAGGTGGTAACGAATTGGGGAAATGCGAGGAAGCATGCTCGAGGATGAAGCTGAAACGGAACACGCATCAAGGTGCACACAAGCAAACACGCACAAGCAAACACGCACAAGCAAACACGCACAAGCAAACACGCACAAGCAAACACGCACAAGCAACCCCCCCCCCCCAAACACACACACACACACACACACATGGGCACGCACACATACACCCGCGCATACGGATACAATCAACCATATGGACACACGCGCTGCACCTGAGAAGCCTGCAGCAAGAGGGATGGCCGACTGCTTGGGCAAGACAATCTGATCGCTGTTGCGATTTGCAACAAACGAGTCCTGGCCGGGGTTGCCATCAGCCTACGACACGACAAATGCAACGAGTGATCACGGCGACGTGAGCCAACGCAAGACACAAAAGCGTTACACAAGGGAGAGAAGGATGGGGAGAGTGGAAAGATGACAAGGAAGACATGTGCACATGTGCACACACACACACACACAACACACGCACATCAAGACAATCACACGGGTGGCACCAGCATCCTAACAACGACTGACAATGGTGACGGTGTCGCCCACAGAGGCGCCGTCCGCGGACTGCACAACAACGGCGAGATCAGACGCAGCCGCAGCAGCGCGCTCGCACAGGCGCTGGGCCTCGTTCCGCGTCATATCAAAGGCCACATCTGTTGCGGCGTGGATGGCAGGCGTGAAGCATGCAGTGAGCCCGTTGTTGATGGCAGGCAAGCAACCTTGGATGATGATGATGATGCTGTGTTGATGCACACGCGTACCAAACACACATGGGAGCACAGGCTGGAACGTGCACACACACGCACACACACACACACACACACACACACACACACACACACACACACACACACACACACACACACACACACACAGAGGCGTCAATACGAGAAACGCCGCACCATTCAAGTCGAGCGTTGGCGGAAGAAGAACGATGGAGGCCAATTTCTGCACACACACACACACACACACACACACACACACACACACACACACACACACACACACGCACATGTGGACATGATGAAGGTGATGAGCAAAAGTACAAAGCTGCGCATTGCTTCGTGTTGTGTTACTGGTGATTGCGTGGCAATACCTCGTGTCCGTCTGGAATGGATGTCGGTGCTGTCAGCGAGACGGTTCGCGCGTCCATCGTCGCCCACGCTGCACACACGCACAAACAGCATTCGCACGCAGGGGTGATGTGCAAAGAGAGGGCGTAGCAGCGTCAGCAATCGCGCACGAGCAACAGCACAAGACCCAGCAAGCAAACACACACGCGCGAGTGCATGAACGTACGGTCCTGTGGCGTGAGAAACGGGAGGGCTGCTGCTGAGTGCTGGGCAGAGTGCGCGTGGCTGTAGCGGCGCGGTGGCAGTGGCGGCGACGCAGCCGCCCGCGTCAACGGGAAGCCTGCGCACAGCAACACGGCAGTGTTGGGCGCGCATGGATGTGTTCGTGAGGATGCGCGCGCGCGTGTGTGTGTGCGTGTATGCGTGTATGCGTGTGTGTGCGTGTGCTGTTACTCGCACATCTATTTCTGTCTCTGTGTCTTGTCTCTGGTTACATACACGCGCCTCTGCAGAGGAAGAGAGATGCCAAGAGTGCAAGGCAAGAACAGCTGCACTTGGGGGGAATGGCAAACATCACATCTGTGCGCACCGAGCGAGGCAAGGTTGGTCGCCATCTCTTCCTCGTCCTGCAACAGCAGGGGGCAGTGGGCACGATGACACGGCGGTGAATTGCAATGCGCATGTGTGACGTGTGTGCATGTGCGACATATGCGCATGTGTGACGCGTGCGCATCACACTGAAGGAGAATGTTACAGCCTAGTGTCAACATGACAAGAGAACAACAAGTCACAATGCCATGTCATCGCCACGCGCCACCCTTGTCGCACCTCCGAGGATGATGAGTTGGTGTCGTGTGCGGGCTTCAGATCGTGGCCAGCATCGCCTGCCTCATCGTCATCATCAAAATCATCATCATTGTCGTCGTCGTCGTCGTCATCGTCGTCAAAATCATCCTCATCTGGTGGGTCGCCCGACAAAATCTACCACGCCCAGTCACAGACATTGAAGCATACAGCGTGAGCCACATCATTGGACATCACAAACAGGCCACGCATGTCAAGGATGCACGCACGCACACACGCACGTGACGTGCAAGAATGTGCGTGTCAAACACACGGCCGACATGGATCATCACCACCCCATCCGCAGCAGCAAGTACAACAGCAACATCACCTGCTGAACGGCCGCCTCTGTATCGATGGGCAGCTTGGCGAGACGCACGAGCGTGCCGCGCTCAAGACGAGAGATGGGCCGGTCCAGCTTGTGCGCCATCCACTTAAACCGCCCAGCAGGCCCAAGCTCGTCTGGTGAATAGGTCGTGTTGGGGCAGGAGGAGGGGTGATGTGATGTGATGTGATGTGAGCAAAAGGGTGGTGTGAGGGGAATGAGAAAGGGCAAGCACAAGCATGAACACACACACACGCGCGCACACACACACACACTCGCACATCGTACATACGCACACTCAGGGGTACACGCGGCTACACTCAAACATGCACACATACGCCCACACATGCGCACCAATTGCCTCGTAGACGCCAGCGTTGGTGAGGTAGGTGTCGCGGGCATCGGAGCAGGCGGCGAGAGCAGCGGCAATGCACATGGACCGCACATCGCCCTCGCTCGCCACTGGTGGTGTCATTGTCGCAAGCTCGTCCCAGTCAAAGGCTGCATGCGCCAGTGGGCCAGCGACGTTGTGAGGGAGGAGGAGGAGGTGTGTGTGTGTGTGTGTTTGTGCGTGCGTGCGTGCGTGTGTGTGTGTGTGTGTGTGTGTGTGTGTGTGTGTGTGTGTGTGTGTGTGTGTGTGTGTGTGTGTGTGTGTGTGTGTGTGTGTGTGTGTGCGTGTGTGTGTGTGCGTGTGTGTGTGTGTGTGTGTGTGTGTGTGTGCAACAGCAGGGTGCGAACGACCCCAACGCATGCAAGAAGCACTGCCAAGGCATACAGAGCTATACGAATTCCTCATTGTGTATGTGTGTCATGCTAACGGACCGGCAGGAACAAACGACGCATATTTCCTCTTGAAGAAATTCAGGCGCTGCTGATTCCTGGCACGCAGCGAAGATGAAGACCAAAGGGAGGGGGAGGGAATGGGATGAGGGAGAGCGGAAGAACGGGAGAAGAACGAAGATGGGACGGAAGGGAATGAGTGCACACAATGTGACAAGTGATGAGAAATATGAGCGTTTCAAAGTTGGCAGGCGGTGATGGCGTGATGAGTACGCGCGTGTAAGGGTGTGTGAGTTTGTGTGCTGATTGGCGGTCTTACAGGAATGTGGTGTCAGCCGATGCCGTTGCTCCCTTCTGTGCGCCCTCACGCTCGTTCTGCAGTTGAGGGAACGACGGGATACACAGCACACGCAGTGAACATGACACCAGTGCATTCGCGTGGCATCGCAACCAGGTGTGGAGCACACGCACACACGCACACACGCACGCACACACACACACATGCAAAGATAATTGTGAACAGAGAAGCTAACACATACACACACAACCACACACACACACACGTGCATATGCGCGGGACGTACGTGCAGTGCAACCTGCGCTGCCCGCAAGTCCTCGTCGGCAAAAACGGGTGTGATGACAAACGGCGTTGTGTGACCGTCAAACAGCACCCCAACCACTTGCCCGAGCCTGCAGTGTGTGTGTGTATGTTGAGTTGTGTGTGTGTGTGTGTATGTATGTTGAGTTGTGTGTGTGTATGTGTGTTTGTGTGTTTGTATTTGTATTTGTGTTTGTGTGTGTATGTGTGTTTGTGTGTGTGTGTGCGTGCAAGTTGAGTTGTGTGTGTATGTGTGTTGAGTGTGTGTGGTATAAAGCACGCGCTGCATGAGTGATGGGTTCAAGGCGGCGTGTGGGGATGGCACCAACGCAACGAAAGTACAGCAGCAGCAGCAGCAGCAGCAGCAGCAGCAGCGTCGAGTGATGACGTGAACGGCGTGGGAACAGAGGACGTACGATGAGCACATGACGTGCTTGACCAAGTAGCCGTCGAACCGGTGCCCGATGATGCTGTGGATCACGCGATCGCCGCTCCTGCAGTCATACACACAGGGAGAAGGGCGCGGGGGACATGTGAGCGACAAACGCAAGCGCGCGCGCGCGTGTGTGTGTGTGTGTGTGTAAACGTATGTGTGTGCGTGTGTGTAAATGTGCATGGAGCCATGTGGAAGGGCAGTTTCTCGTGCTGAAGCGTGGCCCCGACCTGTACGAGAAGACGAGCGAGCCCGTCTGGCTGATGCTCTCACGAAACAGGAAGCAGTCTGATGTGCGTGCGTGTGTGCGAGTGTATGCATGTTGGGAGCGACAAGGAGTGAGGAAAGCAGCAGGCAACGCAAACAGCAGGCAGCAACACATCAGCCACGAGAACACAACAATCAGCAGCCACCATTTGGGTGAAAGGCTGTATTAGAAGTAATGAGCGCAAGAGCAACAAGCACTTGCACAGCGCCACATGTGTGCGTGCGTCACCTGTGTATGGGCTGGCGTTGAGGATGTCGGCAGCATCCCCGCGCGTCATAGGACCGTGAAGCCAGCTGAGGATGTGGTTGGTATGAAGCAAAGGGGTGAGGTTGCATTGGTGCTGTTTGAGAGCAGGGTCGTCACGGCTCGACCACAAGAGCAATGGCAGCAATCTCTCAGGCGTGGTTGGTTACCCAACACAGGCACACGCACACACACACACACACACACACACACACACACACACACACACACACATACGTACGCACACGCTCTCTCTCTCTCTCTCTCTCTCTCTCTCTCTCTCTCTCTCTCTCTCTCTCTCTCCCCCCCCCCATACGCTCGCCTTTCCTTCCCACACCCTCACACGCACACGCTCTCGCGCTCTCTCACTCTCGTGCGCTTGCTTCCCCCCCCCCACACACACACACCGCTGCGTGTCCTCTGCTGGGAAGTTGAGAGACATGGGGTCGATGGGACCGCCAACAATAAACGAGCCCGGGCGGTTGTAGAGCTGGTCGCTCTGCTTCAGCTCGGCAAAGCTCATGTGGGTTGGCTCGCCAATGGGGTCGTACGCCGTTGGGTTGCGCAGCAGGTGACGCAGTGCCGCGGGCACCGCTGTTGCTGTTGCTGATGACGCTGGTGATGATGTCGACGACGGTCCAGGTGGGTTGCTGGCGGTGTTGCCGCTGCTGTTGGTAGTGGTATTTGCGTCATTGTTGCCGCGGTGTCCTGCGCGCGACGCCGGTGTGCTGGCACGCGCGGCAGCAGCAGCAGCAGCATCGTCAGCGGTGGGCTCTTCGTCGATGGGGGACAGGGTGCCCGCGCTGTCAATGGCACGTGGTGGCCGCTCCGGTAGGCGTGGCTCCTTCTCATCAAACGTCTGCACAGCACCAGGGTCGCCCGTTTACAGATGTGTGCGCAGGTGCGTGTGCACATGTGTGTGTGTGTGTGTGTATGTGCGGCGTTGTGTGTGTGTGTGTGTGTGTGTGTGTGTGTGTGTGTGTGTGTGGTGTTGTCATGGGAGTTGGTGGTGGTGAGACGACAGCAGAGAGAGCGTGCACCAATCTGGGCGACAACCAAGACAACCAACAAAACCGCACATACACGCGCATACACACCCTCTCACCTTGTGCAGTTCTGCGTTGATGACTTGTACCAGCACGAACAAGGCCGAAAGGGCAAAGGAGTAGCCCAGCTTTGCCGCGAGGGAGAGGTCATGGAAGTAGGCCTGGCAATGCGATCGCCAACCATGTAGGAGCGCAGGCACGCAGTAACGGATGAACGCGTGATCACCAAATTCAACAATGAGAACAATGATAAGACAGCAAAACACACGGTGGCGATGCACTGTGGCAAGGTTAGTTACAACCATGCCTTGCATGCGATGCATCAATCTCCACCACGTCTCCAGCCATTTGAGCTTCCCTGAGCACGTACAAAGGATATGCTGAGCGGGATGACGAAGAGACCAATCCATGTGTAGAGGTGGAGCACGTCGATTGGCACAGTTGGGGCGTCAAATTGCAAGCCGCCTGTGAACGAGGGCAAGAGCCCCGATTTGGCAAAGTTGCCGAGCTCCTTGGGGAGCGGCATCGTTGCCTCGTCTCCTGGCTTGCACCGGCAGCAGCTGCCGCTGCTGTTGTTGTCAGTGCAGGTCGCTTACTGATGGAGACGTGTGTGTGTGTCCGTATGACTGTTCGTGGTTGCCTGTGTGTGCTGGTGGCCGATGGGGCACGAGTTAAGGATAAGCAAAGCGAGGAAAAACACAGCGACACACAGAGCGAGAGGGAGAGAGAGAGAGAGAGCACGTTTGGGGTGAGTCTGATATGTGCATGCGTGTGTGTGTGTGTGTGTGTGTGTGTGTGTGTGTGTGTGTGTGTGTGTGTGTGTGTGTGTGTGCGTGTGTGGATCCCACAAAGGATCAGTCACCATGAACAAAGGAGACTGTTTGTGGGTTTGTGTGTGTCCATGACTGTGATGAGAGTGTCGGTGGACGGGTTTTCACACACATCATCCCATCACCATTGTACGTAACAGTCCTCATCTCCGTGTCCCTTTGCACACATACACACACATACACACACACATACACACACACATACAAACACACATACACTCCCACATACATACACACACACACACACACACACACACACACACACACACATCGACACACCCTTCTTCTCTGCCTGCACCTCGCAGCGTCCGCCTCCGTCCCCAACAAAGCAAAGCACTCCCAAAAAAAAGGCAGTTGGTGGTGCTCAGAAAAATGCTGACTCAGCAGCATGTTCGCTAACATCCCATGGAATCTGACGAAGCTGCACCGCCATTGTTTTAGATGTGATGCTGTTTTAATCCACTGCCCTGCCGCTGCTTTTTTTTTTCCACGCTTCGTCTTCTGGCCGCTGCTCCAAAGCCACTACAATCTCACAGCACACTTATTGCGACCACAACTCGCGCCCAGCAGCACCAGCACCACCCGTCCTCCGTGCTTGCCTGCCTCTCACGACGTCGTTCGTTGGTGTCGCTCCGTCCATCCGAAACATGAGCTTTGCCACCACCGCGCTCCGCGCTGTCGGGCGCGGCGTGATCGTCTCACAGGCCCGCTGCATGTCGGTGCAGTTCAAGGCCCCCGTGCGCGACATCCAGTTTGTCATCGATGAGGTTGGTCCTGGATTGAAGTGCGTATGTGTGTGCGCATGTGTGCGGTGCAATCCTGTGAAACATGCTCCAACAAAAGCAAAACAACAAACAACAACACAAGTTCGATCGTGGCAACCAATCCACCGGCTTGATGTGGTGGTACCCAACAAGCGTCGCTGCTGGCTCTGTTGCTGATGCAAATCATATGCAAATGATCGTGTGTGCGTGTGTGTGTGTGTTTGTGCGTGGGCTGACAGGTGCTTGAAGGTGATCGCCATTACGTCAAGGCCGGTTACGAGGAGTGCAATGAGGAACTCCGCGCCTCTGTCGTCGAGGAGTGTGCCAAGTTTGCTGAGGATGTCCTGTCACCACTCAACAAGGTTCCCCTTCCCCGCTACCTTTTGCGTGTGCGAAGGCGTGTGGACGTGCCCGTGGCAGAACTTGAGAACAGAGACGGGTTCGCACGCATGCTGACATGCATGCGCGTCGACACAAACAAACACAAACAAACACAAACAAACAAACAAACAAACACACAAACAAACAAACAAACAACACTGACTGACTTCAATTACACGCACTTGCTTGCTTGCTCACTTGACTTGAAGGTTGGTGATGAGGAGGGCGCCAAGCACGATCCGAAGACCAAGGACGTGAAGACGCCAACCGGCTGGAAGGAGGCCTACGAGTCATACGCTGCCCTTGGCTGGCAGGGCCTGAGCGTGCCCGAGGCGTACGGTGGCCAGGGCCTGCCTACCTCCCTCAACATGGTCAAGGCCGAGCTGTTTGCCACCGCAAACTGGACCTGGGGCATGTTCCCTGGCCTGAGCATCGGCTGCATGAACACCCTCATCCTTTGCGGCTCCGAGGAGCAGAAGCAGAAGTACTTGCCTAAGCTTGCTGATGGCACCTGGCTCGGTACCATGTGCCTCACAGAGCCCCAGTGCGGTACCGATCTTGGCCAGGTGTGTGTGTGCGTATGAGTGTGTGTTTGGCTGTTGTTTTGTGTTCTGTGCGTGTGTGTGTGTGTGTGTGTGTGTGTGTGTGCGGTTGTGTTTAATTGACGTATATCAACACGCTGTTCCGTCCCGCAGCGCCCAACTCTCTCACGGCCCCGTGCTGCCACTAATTCCTTGCCACCCGCCTCTTTCTCCGCCAAACTCCTCTCTGCAGGTGAAGACAAAGGCTGTGAAGCAGGGCGATGGCTCGTACAAGCTCACCGGCACCAAGATCTTCATTTCGTGCGGCGAGCACGACTTTACTGGTGTGTCATATGCACGCGCACACACAGGGGCGAACGCGTTAAATTCTGCTTTGCTTCCAAGTACAAGCTTGCCCTTTGGCCACCTTACCATGTTAGCCACCTCACCACCTCTCTTCCCTTCTCGTTTGTGTGTGCGATGCTCTGCAGAGAACATTGTGCACATTGTGCTTGCACGCACGGAGAACTCCCCTGCGGGCACCAAGGGCCTGTCCCTCTTCCTCGTCCCCAAGTACCTTGGTGAGTGCGCGCACACCTCAATGCCGCAACCAACACCATTTTAAACAACGCAGTGACCACACACACACACACACACACACACACACACACACACACACACACACACACACACACACACACACACACACACACACACACACACACACACACACACACACACACGCACGCACGCACGCACACGACAACATAACTTGACATCACGATGCTGCCGTACTGGTCTGCGCTGCAGAGAACTCGGACGGGTCGCTGAGCAAGGAGAAGAACGTGACGTGTGGCAGCATCGAGTCCAAGATGGGCATCCACGGCTCCCCAACTTGCGTCATGCACTTTGAGGACACCGTCGGGTGCGTTTTATGTACTGTTCTTATTCCATTGCAAGAATGGCACAGCAGTTCTTTGCGAGTTTGAGCTGCTGTCCAAACTTGATCAACACACGTGTGTGTGTGTGTGTGTGTGTGTGTGTGTGTGAAGTAAGCGGCCTGTTGCACCTGCTTGCCCTCACGTTCCACGTGTACGTCCTCGTCCCGTTTGTTTGGCGTCCCCGGCAGTTATCTGATTGGCCAGGAGTTTAAGGGGCTTGAGCAGATGTTCGTCTTCATGAACACCGCCCGCATCGGCACTGCTCTCCAGGGCCTCGGTGAGCGCCACCCCATCTGCGTTGTGTTGCCCTCTCCTTGTGCTGCCCCATGTTCATGTCTGCAAACGCACGCTTTGTGATTTCCTGTTATCTTGATACGAACGCACATTAACTCGCATTCACTCGCATTCACTCGCATTTACTCACATTCACGCACATTCACTCACATTCACACACACTCACACACACACTCACACACACACACACACACACACACACTCACACACTCACACACAATCACCCACGCACGCTCACACACAATCACCCACGCACCAAACACCCCCATTCTGTCCCGCCCGCCACGACTTTGCCAGGTGCTGCTGAGCTTGCCTTCCAGGGCGGCCTGACTTATGCCCGCGACCGCGGCTCCATGCGCGCCCTCTCCGGAACGAAGGCCCCAGAGAAGGTGACCTGTAACGTCATGTGTGCGTGTGTGTGCATGTGTGTTTCCAGTGCCCGTTCGAACGTCCTCAGTTCAACGTTGCCAACACAAGTGCCTTCTTGCACATCTCTGCTCACACGAGCGAATCGATGCCATGGGCGCGTGTTGTTTGGTGCTGCGATAGGTTGCCGACCCGATTATCCACCACGGCGACGTGCGCCGCATGCTCCTCACCTGCAAGGCCGTCGCCGAAGGTATACAGCCCTTCCAGCCACTCACACACTCTCTTCTCCACATGGCAGCGGTGCAAATGAGGGACCGCGTGCGTGCGTGCGTGCGTGCGTGCGTGCGTGTGCTATGAAGAGAGCATGTCGCTTGTGTGCGTGTGTGTGTGTGAGCGAGTGCCTCTCCCTAACGATTGCCGTGTTGCCGTAATTGCATTGTGTGTACAGGTGCGCGCTGCATGATGTACGACGTGTCCATGATGAGCGACTACATGCTCAAGGCCCGCACCGAGGCCGAGCGCAAGGTTGGTGTGTGTGTGTGTGTGTGCACGTGTGTGCATATGTGTGTGTCTGTGTGTGGGAGGATTTAAGTATGAGTTTGCGCCAGCATGTCTGTGTGCGTGCTACTTGTCCTCACGCAACCACGCTTCAACCTTTTGCTTGCACTGCTGTTTCATTGCACGCATGGCTGCGCAGGCCATTGACGAGGAGATGGGCTTCCTTACGCCCATCCTGAAGGGCTGCATCACGGAGCTTGGGCTCGAGGCCGCAAACCTCGGCGTCCAGTGCTATGGCGGGCACGGCTACATCAAGGAGTGGGGCATGGAACAGGTCCGTCCATTCGTGTGTGTGTGTGTGTGTGTGTGTGTGTGTGTGTGTGTGTGTGTGTGTGTGTGTGTGTGTGTGTGTGCTGTGGTCATGAGAGTGCTGCGGTCATGAGTCTTTTTTTTTTTTGCGTCTATGTGTGCCTCTGTGTGCGTTGTGGACTTGAGTGCCATGGTCCTCACACTCTGGTTGTGTGGTGTGTAGAACGTGCGCGATGCGCGCATCGGCACGCTGTACGAGGGCACCACCGGCATCCAGGCCCTCGATCTCCTCGGCCGCAAGATCTTCATCCAGGTGCCGTTGGTGGCCACGTTGTTGCTCGCCCGCCGTACTGTGTGTCGTGCATTTCGTGTGTCTTGTGTGTCTCTGTGTGGCTTTCCTCCGCATGTGTATCGCATGTGTCTCCCCAAGACACTCACATACAACGAATACTGCATGCACCGACTGGCATTGAGCAGAAGGGCCGTTCGTTTGGCCAGTTTGCCAAGCGGGTGTTCGCCTACACCAAGAAGCAGGTGCGTTCGCCACTTCACACGCACAAGTGTAGAAACGCACACACTCGCGTCTCTGTCACCCATGCACACACACTCTCTTGCCTTACATTCGCCCACCATCTCTCATACCATACTACAACACACAACACACAACACACAACACACACACACACACACACACAAAACACGACCCCACGTCGGCTGTGACAGCTGATTGACGACCGCAAGACATCGCAGCACAAGTGGGAGGCCCTCTCCGTCACACGGCACATGCTCCAGTGGTTCTACCTGGTGCGTTCATCGCTGGCGGCGCAGCATGGTTTGCGAATGGCAGTTTGCCGCTTCATGGTTCACAACAGTTGTCGACTTCTGTTTTCTGCATGATGTCAACCCTCGCACGTCACGCTTCCTTATTTTGTCTGTGTGTGTGTGTGTGTGTGTGTGTGTGTGTGTAGACGGGCCGCATTGGCTTCAACGCTCAGGCGAACAAGGATCGCGAGGTCATCAGGTGCGGTTACGATGGCTGCGCACATTGCGCCGACAACACACACGCTGAATCAACAACACGCAGCGCATGCTCCTCCCACTGTTGCATGTCATCGCCTCCCACCACCACCACCACCACCACCACCACCACCACCACCACCACCACCACGTTATTGCAGCAGCAATCTTCACGTCATGCTCTCTTGCATGTCCATTCACACCGCCACTCACCTCCTAACCGCTCGCATCCTCTTCAACGCACACACACGCGCGCACACACGCACACACACACACATGCCTACAGCACGTCCTCTGTGGACTTTCTGATGTACAGCGGGTACGTGACGATGAGCTACTACTGGCTGCGCATGATGGACACGGCTGCCGCAAAGCTGAAGGACTCCTCCCTTGCACAGAGCGAGCGCGACTTCTACGAGGCAAAGGTGCGATAAATGGCCATGGTTTTGTGGCTGATTGTTTGTTTTGTTTGTTTGCCTGATGGCTTGTTTGCCTGATGGCTTGTTTGTTTGTGTGGTTGTTTGTTTGGTTGTTTATTTGCGCGTGCGTGTGTGCGTGTGCGCGCGCGCGCGTGTGTGTGTGTGTGTGTGATTTATTGCCCGCGTGTGTGTGCTTTGTGTGTGCGTGTGAGTGTGTGTGTGCGTGCTTAATACGTTCGTACCTGTGGCCATGCGCACTCTTGTAACAGTTCTGTCTATGTTATGCGCATGCACTCCCTGCTGTTTCTCGTGGTTGCCGCCCTCACTCACACGTTCCGCCCGCTTCCAACCCCACCCCTCTTCCTCCAACCCCTTGACCCAATGCCTTTGTGCGTGCGGCTGCAGATTGCGACGGGCAAGTTCTACTTTGAGCGCATGCTTCCGCGTGCCAAGTCCCACTACGCGCTCGCTCTCAACTCGTCCAAGGTTACCATGGATGACCGTGCTCTTGGTGGCCTCCCCTTCTGAGCATGCAGCAGCAGCAGCAGCAGCAGCAGCAGCAGATTCACGCAGGACAAGTACCTTCCCTTTGACACCGCATGCCATCCATGCACACCAAACATACCCCTCTTCCCCTCTTCTTCCTCCCCCCTCTCCCTCTCTCTCTCTCTCTCGTGCCTGCTTTTCATTCTCACCCTCGACTGCCACCCTTGCCCCATCTCAAGTGCTTCACCCACGCCCCACACGTTGCTTTTTTCCCTCCGGGCGCTTTGTGGACAGATGCGGTGTGGCCTGACGGCGACGTCTTCCCTCAATGAACACTTGAACATGGCGCGCGCTGTGGAGAAACACTGAGACACGGGCGCAGAGAGGGACAAAGGTGCAGAGAGAAACAGAGGTGCAGAGAAGAGGAGGCAGGAAGACCGTGTGCTTGTACGTGCACACACACACACACACACAGACAGACACACACAGACACACACACACACACACACACACACACACACACACACACACACACACAGACACACACACACACACACACACACACACACACACAAAGCACACAGTCCAGGTTGTTGCAGTGTATGTTTCGCACAAGAGAATGGTCTGGTGCGCACTTTGAAAACTGTATCCACCACCACTGGCCAATTAGCCACACCCACCAAAACACAAACACCACACACAACCGCATACACACACACTGACGTTTGTTGCGCGGTCGCAACACACCCCTCTCACACACCCCTCACGTCCCTTCTTGAGTCCTTCGTGGGGAGACGCTCCTGTGCGCTTAACCCCACAACTGCTACAGCCACAACGTCGTGGTGTTGGTGCATTCCCTTCTTGTCAACCAAGACACGTCCACAACCACCACAACGCACACACAACGCACACACAACGCACACACAACCACCACGATGATGATGTCTCGAACAGCCGTGCTGACGGTGCTGGGAGCGCTGGCAGTCGCAGTCGCTGCATCACAGACAACGCGCTGGACCGTGCGCATCGTTCTCGGTTCCGTGAATCAGCTGCCATCCAGTTTCCAGTTTGTGAGCGAGCAACAGCGTCAGGGCAGCGTCTTCTTTGTCTCCGACTCTGGCAGCAACCAGCTCACATCGGACTCACGTACGTTGGATTGTACGTCTGTGTGAACGTGTGTGTGTGTGGGGGGGTTGGGTGTGTGTGTGTGGGTGTGTGTGTGTGTGAACGTGTGTGAACTTGTGTGTGTGTGAACGTGTGTGAACTTGTGTGTGTGTGTGTGTGAATGTGTGTGGATGGCGTTCGTCTTGGCTCGCTTCACGCCTTGGCAATCATATGCTGTCGTTGCACTGCTCTCATCATGCTTCTTCTACCCATCACCGCGTTCATATCCCCTCCGAACTGTTGGCCTGCATGTTCCACCCATCAGAGACAAGCTTGGAGAACCAATTCAATACCCTGGATCCTGATGGACAAACTCAAACGCAGTTTGTGCAGGTGAGCATGCATTCACATGTCACGCACTTGCGCGCACAAGCACGGACTCTCCTGCTCAACACTGCTTCTCTGCCCTACCACCCTCACAATCTCAATGTCACCTGGTTGCTCCCGGTGCATTGCACATGTCGCGGTAGTTTGAACAAGAGGATGGCTCCGATGACTTTGTGCTGCAGCTTGATCTCACCAACAACGGCACAGACCCGACGTCCCTCTTCCAACAACTCCAAAACATCACGAGTAAGCACCGCGTCTGTGTGTTTGTGTGTCTGTGTCTGTGTGCCTGCGTATGCGTGTGCGTGCACTTCTGTGTGTGTGTGTGTGCGCATTTGTGTCTGTGTGTGTGTGTATGTTTGTCTATGTGTGTTTCTGTTCGCGTCTGCGTCTGTGTCTGATACCTGTGCACTGCCACACCAGCTTTTGGCCCATGACTTGCCCTTCAACTCACCGTGTGCTCACCGTGTGCTCATCGTGTGCCATGCGCGTGTCCCATTGGTAGTCATGTTCCAGGATGAGGAAGTCACGTTCATGATCAACAACGGCAACAACTCCACAAACAACACAAACAACACAAACACAGATACGCCAATTCAGATTGCACCTCGCACGACAAACAACGATGGTGAGCAACACCAGTGCCCGTTTGGTTGAACCGTCCGTTGCTCAAATGCCAATTCTGCCATACCACCACCTCACACCTCCCCGTGCCACTACCACTCGTCACACTCACTCACTCGCACACTGACTGATGTGATGGCTGCCGTGGTCCCACGCCAGACAACGTGCCCGTGATTCTTGGCGCCATCTTCGGCACCCTCGCCGGCCTCATACTCATCGCCTTTGTTGTTCTCTACGTGAAACGCGCGAAACACAAGGTTTGCAACCCACAAACACCGCACACCACACCCCCGAACACACGCTGAGCTGAGTGCAACACCATACAGTTGAACTGCAGCTGCTTCTGCATGCACACCCTCATCGTTGTATGAGCACGATCACCGCCTTGCTGTCACACCACCTCACACCTCACTTCTCCTTGACTGTTCCTCATACTTCTGTCTCTCTCTCCCTCGCTCGCTCGCTGGTGCACACAGCAGAGCGCTGTCGCCGACACAGAGCTCGACCGCGTCCGCACCGTCAGCAGATCGGTGCGTCTGTGTCTGTGTCTGTGTCTGTCTGTGTTGACTGTATTGGTAGCTTGCTCTGTGCTTGCGCATTTGCGTCAGCTCATTCCATCCCTCGCGCGCTTGGTTCCTCTTGCGCTCGTGTGCTGGACCTACAGGATGCAAAGCGCCATGAAGAACAACAGCAGCAGCAGCAGCAGCAGCAGCAGCAGCAAGCGAAAGTGAGATACTGAGCATCGTGTTGAGCCTTCTCAATCTTGAACTCCGCTATCCACTCGCTCGCTTCGAGCCACTTGCGATTTGTGTTTCGCTTTGAAAGCGAGCAATAAGTTGTGTGTTGATTGCACGCTTATGAACTTTGAGAGAGTACTGGATTGCTGTGTTGCTGTTGTGACGACGATACTGTCCTTCTCCTGCTCTCCTGCTCCATTTCCATCCCTGTTCTTGCCTGCCTTGATTGTCTGTGCATTGCTTTTTGAGCGCCCCTCCCCCCTCTCCCCCTCCCTCGCAGTAAAGTGGCCTTGTCCTTGTACAGCCCTTGACGCACTGGTGGTCACTTACAACAGGGGGAGGGAGAGGAATACGAGGGGGCTGCGCTGTTGGTGTGACGCCGTCACGCTCACAGCACCCTAGCTCACTCCTTTGCTCGAGCAATGTCATGCCACAACTCGTTTATTTTTTTGGGCGAACGGGCGTGTCTTTTCCCAGTCTTTCTCCTACTAGACTGTCCTCTTGCGCTTCTGGCGTTTTCCTGCCACCACACATGATGTGATCTGACACCACCACCACCACCATTATTGCTGCCATGTTTCGCTTCATCAGGCCGAGGAGGAGCCAGCAAAGCAGCCCGAGCAGCTGCAGCACCCGGAACCCGAGCCAGCGCCCGAGCCAGAGAAGGAGGAGGAGGAGGAGGAGGAGGAGGCCCCTGATGGTGACGATGAAGATGAGGAGCAGGAAGAGGAGAGCCCTGCTGACCGCAAGCTGTCTGCACCGGGCGAGGACGACATTGCACACCGCCGCGCATCATAGTGAGCTACAACTGCAACACACGCACGCACGCACACACACACACGCACACACACACACACACACGCACACACACACACACACACATACACACGCACACACACACACACACACACACACACACACACATGTGCCATTGTGTGCTGAATTTCCCATTGCTGTCGTTTGTCGTCACCGTCACTCTCAATCAAGGTCACCCAAGCACTTTTCTGTTCAGCTGCTTCGCAATTACGATTGCTCACTCAGATCATGCATTGTTTTCAGCCGCTGGAACGCCACTGCCAACGCTGTCGCCGACCCCACGCCAGGTTTGTTGGAGGATGGGCTCTCGTGTCACATGTACATGCACGCACACAATACTGAGTGTCTGCACCCCCCTCCCCCCCCCCCCAAACACACAAACACACTCACACGGCACACCGCGTCCACACGCACATGCTCTCCCACTGATGCAGGAGGCGAGGTGGTTGAGAACAGCTTTGACCGCGTGGTGGACGAGGCGCACAAGCAGCAGGTAGCGGGCACACTCGGCGCCGAGCAGCAGAACGACGAGGACGACACGAGCGAGGAGCGCAGGCCGTCTGATGACATCGCACACGAGCGCGCGGAATAGTGAGTTGTTTTCGAGCAAGTGTGTGTGTGTGTGTGTGTGTGTGTGTGTCTGTCTGTCTGTCTGTCTGCTCGGCTTTGTGTGTGCCCTGTTTCGCGCGCAGACGCTTTGTCTTCAGTTGTCGACGCGCATCACGTCTCACGCATATCACGTCTCACGCATTTCACAGCCTGTGGAACGCCACTGCAAACGCTGTCGCCGACCCAACCCCAGGTACACGCACACACACACACTTGTTTTCTCCCCTCGCCACCACCCTTGCCTCCTTCCCATGCTGTGCAATGCCCAACGCGTCTAACGCATCTCCCTCCCTCCCCCCGCCCTCTCTCTCTCGCTGTCCCTCCCCCATTGCAGGTGGCGAGGTGGTCGAGAGCAGTCTTGACCGCGTGGTGGACGAGGCGCAGAAGCAGCACCGTGCCTCTGAGACGAACAACTAATACACGATGATGATGATGATGATGATGATGATGATGATGATGGTGATGTGGGTCGGAGATGAGTAGTGGTCAATGTCCACCGCTACCGCCACTCACACGCTCAGACGCAAAGTGTGTGGACTGGCCGTGCTGTGATGTTGCTATGCTGTGAGCTTTTGTTTGAGCCTGGACCCCGTACTGTAGCCCTTATGTTTTAACTGCCATTTGCATGTTTGTGTGTTGTTCCCGTCTGTGGTGCTCTACACGCCGCTCGCCCCTGCTTGTTTGCTCGCTGGTCTCCCTCGCCGCTTTCAATGTCCATGCATTGCGTTCTTGCCGGCGTTTCTTATTTCTTGGTGGTGCGTAGACGACGAGCAATACAAATCAGTCATTCAGATCAGAAAGAGAGAGAGAGAGAGAGGAAGAGGAAGATACGCACATGACCAGACAACCTTTGCGGGGACAGGGATGGGCCTTGGCACAACACGCGCGCACGAACGTGCAAACTCATTCGAAATCACTACAACCAACAAACAACAGACACAACACAAAAGACTACAAAGACACGACGCAACAGCAAGCCACCACAATCACCAACCAATCAAGCCCACCACTCTTTCCATCAATCAATCCGAAGGCTGCTGCTGGTGCTGGGGCTTGCGGTGCGTGACGACTGCCTCTGCGCCCTTGTACTTGAGCGGACGCGGCGGCTCGTACTCGGCGTTCTTCCACAGCGTGGGCCCGCCAAAGCTGCCCTCGAACATGCGGATGGGCTGCAGCACCATGCGGGGCCCAATCTCCACCAGCCGCGTCTCCTCGTCGCGCCCGAGCTTGCCCTTGGGCTTCCACACCACCTGGTAGTGGCGGAACCAGATGCGCTCGTCCAGCACGTAGAACGACACAACGTGGTCCACAAACGGCTTGCTCTTCGGGTGGTCCTTTGGCACACCAAACGACTGCACACAATGGAGGAAGGAGGGGATTCAGAGAGAGAGAGAGAGTGTGTGTGTGTGTGTATGTATGTATGCGTGTGTGTGTGTATGTATGTATGCGTGCGTGTATGTATGTGTATGTATGCGTGCGTGTATGTATGTGTGTGTGAACGTCACGGTGAAATGCCAGCGTTTCGCAGAATGACACATGCAACCATAATTGTGCATAGCACAAGCGCATGCGTGCCGGCGTGTATTCGCTGGTGAATGTCAATCAACACGAGACGAGTGCAACACCAAACCTGGAAGAGAAGCTCCTTCATCAACCGAAAGTGCGGAGACTGATCAAATTCCTGCATCACACGGAAGCATGCAGGAACACACGGCGTCAATGTTAATTTGATGTCCAGTCGACACATGCAACAACTGCACACAAAGCAGTCCTTCAAACGAGCTCGCAAAAAGCACACACACACACACACACGCGCACACAGACACACAAACTACGAATGTGCTGGACGCGTGCCCACCTTGCTGAAGTGGACGAGGGGCCGCGAACCTTTGAGGCAGTTGCCCGTCAGACGAAGCTCATCCATGGTGTGGACTGCGCACAACAGCACACGGTACGGCACAGCGGAGTCAGAACAGGTGTGCAGGCCAAGCACACGATGGTATTGAACATGTAAATCCCATACAGAACACACGCGCGCACACACGCGCGCGCACACGCACACACGCACACACAACCACGCTAACAAGCACCCTCACACACACGCACACACAAACATACACGCGCACACACGCGCGCGCACACATGCGTAAACACAAGCATCCGCACACATACACAGAACTGTAACGCACTGTTTGTGACGTAGAACTTGATGGATGGTCCATGCGGCATCTTGGACACCCTGTTGTGGCACACGAGCCCGAATCAAAAGTGGTAAACAACACCGTGTGCTTGAACACATGCCACCTCGCCAGCTCCGCACATACATACGGTCACACACACGCACACACGCACACATATATCCACGACCACATGCATAGCAGCAGCGTGTCTACGTGTTCATTTTCGTACCAGAGGTAGACGTCGCGTTTCTTGCGCATCTCAAAGTAGAGGCAGTTGTTGCAGTTGCGCATCTCGCAAATCTCCGGGATGGTCTCGCCCAGCCGGTCCTTGCGCTCCATCTTCACCTCTTTCTTCGAGTGCGGCAGGAGAGCCCGCAGCTGTACACACACGCGCGCGCGCACACACACAAACACACGCACACACACACACACACACAGACGGAACGAGAGAAACGAGCGTGCGTTGAGGTGTGAGAGTAGAGTTGCAACACAAGCTTGGCGGCACGAAACAAAGCAATTGGACATGCATTGCAAGTGACAAGGCACGTCCCCGAAACTTCTATTCCATCTTCTCTCCCGCCAAGCATGAAGGAACACACGCGCAACAACGCTTGACGTACATCGGAGAGAAGGTGGCGAACGCGGAACGAGATGCCACGAGATGAGAAGACGAGCGTGCGCTGCCTGTTTGTCCAGCTTGGACTCTTCTTCTTGGTCTGCAGCTGCGTGAGACGCGCAAGCTTTGGCTGCACGTACACCAACACAAGACAATCAAACACAATCAAGGGGCCGTGAGAAGGGACAGGAACGATTGCCAGAGAGAGAGAGAGAAAGAGAGAGGAGAGAGGAGAAAGGAGAGAGGAGAGGAGAAAGGAGAGAGAGAGAGAGAAAGGAGAGGGGGAGAGCAGCTCGTTGTCTGGGGTTTCAATTGTTGAGCACGTCGACACGCTGCAGCAGTTGGATCTAGCATTATGTTGGTATCCCGCGCACGCCCATGCACAGTGAACAGCGCAACAGCACACACCACGAGCAAAAACTCAAAGTAGCGTGTGTGCACTCACGTGCAGAGCGACGTCCGACATGTCGAGGCCATCATGTGCATCGTCATCTTCGTCGTCATCGTCGCCATCACCATGCTCTGCAACATCACCATCATCAACATCATCATCATCTTGTACATCCTGTTCTTCGGTTTGCTGCTGTTGCTGCTGCTGTTGGCGCTTTGCCTTGCGCTTTTCCTTTCTGCTCAGGGGCCTGTCAGCGTCCATGCTTACCACGATTTCGTCGGCACTCTTGTCTTCTGTCGATGCGCTGCCCTCTGTCACCTTCTCCTTCTGTTTGCTGCCTGTGTTGGCCTTCTTCTTATTGTTGCTGTTGGTCTTTTTCTTGTCGTTGTTGTTGGTGGTGGTGTTGGCCCCCTTTGCTGTGGTGGCCTTGGCTGGTGTGGTTGCCGCCTTCTTTGCAGCAGGTGCACCATCGCCACCAACCTGCTTGTTCTGTTGTTGCTTCTGCTGCTTCTGCTGCTTCTGCTGTTTCTGCTGCTGCTGCTGCTGCTGTTGCTTCTTCTGTTGTGTCTCTAGCTGTTCGGTTTGCTGTTCTGCTTCTTGCTTGCTCCGCTTCTGCTGCCCTGTCCGCCCGGCGGCGCCCTTCTTCTTTGCCCCAGCCATCCTTGTATGCGTGTGCTGCTCTCTCAAACTGTGGGATCGTTCTCTCAGCCGTCTGCCACTTGCTCTGCCGCGCACACACACACACACTTCTCCGCTTGCTGCTTGCTGCACACGTGACACTCGTGGGTGCTGGGTGGGCTGATTTCAGTCGCAAGGTATCGAAAAAATGTCGAGTCAGCAGAAATTCCAGCAAGGCTGACACAAGCAAGATTCAACAACAGGGGAATGCGCACCTTCGCCCTTTCATCACCCGCAAAACGCCACCCACACACCCACACGCCAACCAAACGCCAACCACGGAACCAACCAAACGTGAGCCTGCTTTGCATTGCACGAGGCAAACCAGGTCCTGTCTTTTTTGATTTTCTCCCGCTTCTGCTCGCTCTTGCTTATGCTCTTGCTTTTGCTTGCCTGACTTGCTCGTAGGTTTGTGTGCATGTGTTGGGGTGTGTGTCAGGTGTTTGCTTGTGCGCTTGTCCTCCTGCTGATTTGTGCGCCTTCTGTTTCTTTGTCCTAGTGAACTGAGTTGCATTGATCGCCCCAACCTGGTAGTGTGTTGGCGCGTTGGTGCAACCCAAGCTGGCAATAAGCCCTGCAACCACTGCTGCTGCTGCTGCTGCTGTGACACATGACGACGAAGGTTGGTGGTGTGTTCGTCAGCGAATACATGCGTGCCTTGCACTTTGAATGGACGAAGAAATTCTTGCACCTCTGACGCTGCCTCTCCCTCTCTATCTCGTTTGTGAGAGTTGTGGTTACCCACCCTGCTTGGTGCGTGGATATCGACCAGCCATCGCATTCACCCCTGCCTGTCCTGGAATCAACCAGACTTGAACACACACACACACACACATACACGCATTTACCTTCGTTCACCCTGAACGCCGGCACGCACAGACACACACACGCGCGGGCGAGTACACCCAGGCACACACAACGCGTGCAGTTGCATCCACCCAACAACTTCTGCACCGCCACCACCACGACCACCGTTCCTCTCTTCCTCCTGTTGATTTTCCTACTCCGTACTTGATAAGTCGGAGCGTCATTTATCGCCGCATCCTTTCTCACACCACGATCCACACATAAACACATCCAACTTGCTTGAACCTCCTCCACGTTCGTCATCGCCTACCTGTCACCGGTCACCTTTGGCGACTCCTGCTCTTCCGTCCCCCCCCCCCCTCCCGGCGATCCACATGGCTGCACAGTTGACGGTGAGGCGACCAACACCCACCACCCACCAAAGGCTCAAGCCACCTGCTGCTTTTGCTTGCTCGTGTCACACAGACCTGCGCGCGCGGCTCGCTGGCCTCGCTGATGTGTCATGCTCGAGTGCTGGTCGTGTGCGATTGCTCATCACCAAACCTAGCTCGTAGTCATGCGCTTGATAACCTGCGGCTGTTGTCGGTCCCCTCTTCCTTTGTCCTCGTTCCCTGTCCATTTTCGCTGTTGCATGATGTTACTTCTTCCTCTTGTCTGTCTGTAGATGCCTTTGTTCGCTTCATCGCCGTACTTGATTGACAACACCGCATTATTCCCATCTCTCCGTTGTCTTCTCTTTTGTTCATCTGATCCTCTCCCAGTCATCTTATCTTGGCTCACACAGAATTGTAACTCACGCCCTCTCCTCTCCTCCTGCTCCATTCTCATTCTTCTCTCCCCTTCCACCATTCCTCCTTCTTCGCCGCCTCAGGTCCCAAGCATGGCCAGCCGACGTCGTGGCGTGTCGGCGCCACCGCCGATGGAATGGATGGTGCACTTTGAGCCCGCCTCTGAGGCCGGCAAGGTCTCCAAGCACGTGTCTGCGCACAAGGGGAAGTATCCGGACGAACTCATTGACCACTACAGCGTCGGCTACACCGTTGGTGATGGCGGCTTCTCAAAAGTCAAGCTCGCAAGACACAGAATGACCGGCATCAAGGTGTGTGTGCGTGCGTTTCTGTGTGTGTGTGTGTGTGTGTGTGTGTGTGTGTGTGTGTGTGTGTGTGTGTGTGTGTGTGTGTGTGTGTGTATTAATGTGTCGATGTCTGTGTGTGTGTGTGTGTATTAATGTGTCGATGTCTGTGTGTGTGTGTATTAATGTGTCGATGTCTGTGTGTGTGTATTAATGTGTCGATGTTTGTGTGTGTGTGTGTGTGTGCGTGCGTGATCGCGTTGCTTGCTTGACCGTTTTTCCTACTCGATCACGCTTTACCTGCCTCTCGCTCGAGACACATATCTTACCAGCCACCACACTCCCCACCACCACCTACACCTACGCCCCCCTCGTGTTGTCCGCCCATCACAACCACAACAAACATGTGCAGGTGGCGATCAAGATGATATCCAAGGAGACGCTTCAGCGACAGGGCGAGCTGTTTCGCGCCGCAAACGAGATTGCCGCCCTGCAGCTCCTCAAACACCAGAACATCGCCCGTCTCTTCCAAGGTATCCTGACTGCTCCATGCGTGCACATCACACAATCGCTTCCTTTTCCTTGTCACTTGCATGCATTATCACGTGCCTACACGTAGCATTGCACATGCTCCTCCCTCTACACACACACACACACAAGCGCGCACCTCCATCGCCATCCCCACCCTCACTCACACTTGCCTTTGTGTGCATGTGCGTGTGCGCTGCACAGTGCTTGAGTCGCGGTCGCGCGTGTATCTAGTGATGGAGCACCTGCCTGCTGGTGAGCTGTTCGACTACATTGTGGCCCAAGGCCGCATCCGCGACGAGATGGTTGCGCGCAAACTCTTCCGGCAGATTGTCTCTGCCGTCGCTCACTCGCACCAGGAGGGCTTTGCGCACCGCGACCTCAAGCCAGAGAACATGCTGTTTGACGAGAAGAAGGTGCTCAAGCTCATCGACTTTGGCCTCGTCTCAATGCCGCACACGGAACAGTGCAAGACAAGCTGTGGCTCTGCAAACTACGCCGCACCAGAGGTGTGTGTGTGTGGGAGGAGGGTGTTTGTCTGTGTGTCTGTCTGTCTGTCTATCTGTGTGTCTGTCTGTCTGTCTGTCCGTCCGTCCCTCTGTCCTGTCTGTGCCATGAACGTGAGTCATTTCATTAGGTTGAATGCACCATTTGAGGTCCCAAAAAAAAAAAAAAAAACTCTCCACCCTCTGCACGCCGCGTGCACACCCTTCTTTCGCGCTCGCACCTCCTTGTCTCACCACAACCCACCACCCTTCCCATCCTCCCACCCCCCGCAGGTGATCCGTGGCGAGTCGTACAGCGGGCCTGCTGCTGACATGTGGTCCCTCGGCATTGTTGCCTACGCCATGCTCTGCGGCTGTCTCCCCTTTGATGATCCAGACCTCCGCGTCCTCGGATCCCTCATCCGAAAAGGTCCGCATTTCAATTGCATCGTTCAGCTCCTTTCATTTGCTTGCTTGCACGCATGCACGCCAAGTGCCCCTTGCTCTCCAAACCCCCAATCACTCTCCTCCCATGTACCTCACCACATGTGCCCCCCCCCCACCTGCCGCCACCGCCACCCACCATCAGGCGAGTACGCCGAGCCGTCCCACCTGAGCCCGAGCGCGCGTGACATGATCCGCGGCCTGCTGTCCCTCGACCCTGCCCGTCGCATGACCATGGATCAGCTCCTAGCACATCCCTGGATGGTCGCCGGCCTCCCCACAGACCGCCTCGACACAAGCTCCCAGATTGAGTGCGCCGAGCTGGACCCGCAGGTGGTGGGTGTGCTTGCGCGCTACTACGGCGTGAGCGAGGACCGCGTGCGAAGCCACCTGGAGACGGACCCGTACGACCACGTTACCGCCGACTACGAGATGGTGTGCCTGGCCAAGACAAAACGCCTGCCCCTGCGCCTGATTGAGGGCGCGGGCACGTTCCAGCCGCGCGAGCTGCCCGAGATTGAGGTGGAGCAGCCCGACGCGGACAGCGACGCCACCGGTGACGGCGCGGACGGCGCTGGTCGCATGCGGCCCGGGTCTGCCCTCTCCAACGCATCGTCCACCATCTCCACACCAGACGCATCGCGTGCTGGGAGTCCGCGCACGCGCCGTGGCCGCCGCCGCGGGATGAGCGAGACGCTGCAGGTGCCGAATGTGGACGCCATGACGCCGCGGTCAGGCAACTGGCTCAGCGCGCGGTTCAACAGCATGCGCACGCTCGCGCAGCCGCTCATTGTCTCGGACAGCAACCTTGGCATCAACTTCAAGTCCAAGGCAGACGCGGAGACGGTGCGGCAGGCCATCTACGCGCACCTGAGCAGCCTGCCTGGCGAGGTGCGGGTGAAGAACCGCATGTTCCGGCTGGACGTTCTCATGCGCAACGACCTCAGCGACAACCAGGAGATCCGGCTCCACTTTGAGATTGTGCGCATTGTTGACCCGCCGCTCACGGGCATTCGCGTGACGCGCGTCAAGGGCGACCGTGCACAGGTGCAGAAGGCGTGCCTTGCCATCTTTGAGGACTTTAAGGTCTAGGCCGCGCCATGTGGTCGTGTGGGTGGGTGATTGTGGGATCCTGTGGGATTGTGGGATCGTGTGGGCGTGTGTGTGTGTGTGTGTGTGTGTGTGTGTGTGTGTGTGTGTGTGTGTGTGTGTGTGTGTGTGTGTCTCGTGGT